TATACTACAAATGTAATATGCAACAATATAATATGCAAGTATATGAATTTTATTAATTAAAATAATATTCTAGAACAATTTATTAGAAAAGTTTTATTCGAAACATATTTTCTTGTATTTTATTAAGAATTATAAAATAATTCACATTCATCTTCTATAATAAATAATAATATATAATAATAATTCTAAATAAAACTTTAAATAAAGTTGCTTTCGCGTGTTATAGATGATAATTATAGTATAAGTATTATTAATATACATTGGCAATTATATATAAGATAATCATAATATTAGAAAGAATAAAATTGTTTTAAGCTTATATGTTTATTAATCATTTTTTCTTTTGAATTACTGTATTTTAAGGAAATATTCTATTTATTATATTAACGCAGCTTAAAAGTCATTGCTACATGAATTTATTTATAAAAATTATTACCCTCTGTATTTTACATGACTTTCTATTAAGTATATATATATATATATATATATATATATATATATGCAAGATTAAGTTTTTAAATATATGATGAATATAAATTCATTGGTTAGTTTTATGCCATAGAAAATATGTAAAAAATAAAAACATCTTGAATAATTTAAAAAATATTAACATTGAAAGCTTTAAACTAATGCTTTGAAACAAAGTTTTAAACATAAGCTTTAAAACATACACAAAGATATTATTTTATGGATATATTTTTAAGAAGTGATTGAATAATATTTTAAATGAAAATATAAGATAAAAAGCAATTAATTCATTAATTTTATTATTATTAAAGTATCATTGAATTTTTCAAACTTACACTATACATTTGAAAATATACTGTTCATTTTTAGATGTATAATAAGTAAGAAATTGGTGATATATTTAATATATTTATAGTTTTATAAATTAAAATGATATGAAAGTTGATTCAAATTTAAGAATTTAGTAATTAATATTTATGATATTGCTCAAAATAAAGGTCATTTAATTTCTCTAGAACTACTTGGTTTTGCTTTGAACGAATATGATTTGAAAATTTTATTTTATAAGGCACGTAATTTGATGAAAGAATATAATAAGAATCATGGTCAAGCAGAAAAAGCAAAACAAAGTTTTAATAAATTTCAACTCGTTAGTTAAGAATTATGGACTAACGATTGATATTTAAGCCTCAAGAAAACTCTTTTTCTTAAGAAAAATAATCTTAAAATACTGGGTGTGATTTTAATTTCCTCTAACGAAGATACAATTTTCACTCGAACTTGAAGAATACCATCTTCTTGGTGTCTTGCGTAATCTTGAGTATCTTTTGCCCATAGATCCTAAAATGACGAACCTCTGACAATTTCAAAGATAAACTTCTCTTACCGTGAGATTCATATTTAATTAATTGATAAATTGTATAATACATGCTTTTTCACTCAAGTAAATTTCTTAACGATATTTATTTTGGCACAATTAGAGATCACTTTTACATCATTTACAGAAATCTAACTTCGACTCTTTTATTACCTCAATCAATTGATTGTAATATTATCAATAATGATATATTGATTTAAAGAAAAACTTTTTTATCTAGTTTTTTTTTATCTTTGTTCGTAAATTACATGTATAGGCCATTTTAGCTAAATTACACTGGCGAACTGTCCTGGTTTAGCTACACCTTGACAAAATGATAGAATTTTCTACATGAAAATTCTGGAATTAATAAAAGTTGTAATAATGTTCCTGTGATTCAAACTCAGGAGCGACAAATTGTTCTGAAAGGTACTGACATTACTTTAGAGACTAATGGAATTATATAACATGAATCGGGCACAAACAATATTGCAGCAAGCTGTAAAAATCGAACTTCTGTGATCGCTAATGATGTTAATGGTGTTGATAAGATTAATTTTACTTTTGTTGTAAATATATTTAATAAATATCGAAGTTTTGACAAATTTATAGACGATAATATTGAAGACATAGAGACGGTTGAGAAAAACAGAATAGAGAAAACTTAGATACTGTATCGGCGTATTGTATTAGGTATTCCCTTACGTTTACTAGTTGTATGCAGATCTGTTATCTGATAGCCTCGCGTTTTCGCAACTTTTACGCAATTACATCTATGTGTGGAATTAGGAAAAGAACTAAATTTTTCATTCGACGGAATAGCTGAACAAGATATAACTCAAGATAACATTATCGTAATATTAATGCTTATCTATCAACTTACGAAAGTATGCTTGTAAGTTTTCGAATCTCTGTGTTCCTCTTGATCTTAATAATAATTTATCAATTGGGCAGCACACGATCAACTTGATTAATATAATTATTCGATCAAAATTTATAATATATTTTTTAAAATAGTTCGATTAATGATAGTAAATCGATTTGTTGCTTCATAGAGAAAGTGAGTCGTGGTTTGGATTTTTATGATTTACTTAAGGAAGAAAGCAATTTCTCATAGTAATTATTTTTAGTTTTAATTTATTTATTTAAAACAGCATACGTATATTTATAACATATTAAATTGATAAATTAGTTTCTAATATGCTAAGTAAATAATTAAACAATCTTAAATAAGATAAATAATACAATGGAAATTCCTTAAAGACTCCTTAATAAAGATAACTTAACTATTTATATATCTGAATATCATAATGACATCAATATTTACCTGTATTTATCCTCATATTGAATGAACTATAAAATCTCTAATTAATTATGTGAATGATTATTACATACATTTACAGTTTCTTTACAAACTGCTTTCACTAAGTCATTTATTCAGAAAAGGTATTCTAAATGAATATGTAATTTATTTTACAAATTATTTTGTAAGAAAAAGTGAACAACGAGTAAAGTATTTTAAACTAATTCTAATAAATTATAATCATGTTAAATAAATTCTGTGTTTATTCATGTATATTATCAAAATAGTTTTAAAGTTGCTAAAAAGATCATTTGCATTTAATTAATATGAAAATGATATTAACATAAAATTGAAAAATAAATCAATTTAATAGAATTGATAGATTGTAAAAATTCGCTCAAAATTATTTGAATATATTTATACCTATACGTTATATTATCATTTACAAATATTCAATATAGCATGTGACAAAATAATATTTTTATGTAAATTTTATTTGTTTAATCTGGCTTCATGCATACATTTGTGTGTATTGGTGTGAAGATCATAAAGCATTATAAGCTACCTTATATTTTTATTTTATTGCTTAAAATTTTAATATTTTATCAATTTTTGTTAAAACTATAAAAATCTCATTGAAAAGCAGTTATTAAAAAATAGTACACAATTAATATTATTAATTTTATTAATTAATATTGTTACAAAAATTTTATACTAATTAAAAATACGAATAAAAGATTAATAAAGAAAACTGGAATATGCATATTCAATTTTTCTAAATTTTAACATGTTAACCTTTTTGACATTGTACAATAATCAAACAAAAATCTTTACAGAACCAATAATATAAATAAAATATTAGACATATTAAATAATTAAAGTATATTAATAAATTATAGAAGCACTGATTTACATTATACATACGTGTACATTTCCATTTGTAATGTGTACATGACTGTGATAAATATAATGATCAATGTATAAAAAAAATATTTATCAAGAATTCAATGAATGAAGTTTATAATATTAGTCAATGTCAAATATTGATAAAATTGGAAAATTTTACTATTATTTTATTAAATTAGATATATAAAATTTATATTTTAGAAGTAAATGTTTAAAATACAATTTAAAACCTTTTTGCCATTTTTTAATTATTACATTCTGTTCTTGCAATATCATAGATATTTCTGAAAATATCCATCAATTACAAGTATAAAAAATTCATTGATTAAAAAATAATTTAAAACAGGACATTTAAAATTAATTTTTATTATAAACTTATACTTTTGTAAAGTGTTATTTATAATAATAAACATTATATATTTTTTTAAATAAATATTTGAATTCTTTAATTATTATAATAGAGAACACATAATTAAAAAAATTATTTCTTTAAATACATTAACTACATATTTACATAATAATTTTTGGTTGAGATCTTTTATATTAATTGTTATTAATTAGTTAAAGAAAATACATTTCATTCAATCTATCAGTGCTTAAAACAAATCTATTAAAAAAACTATTACATAAAATATAAATTTACTATTTTAGCTCCTTACTTTGAATAAATTACGAAAACTTTTATAAAAAAGTTTGAATAAAAATTTTCAGAATTTATTAAATAAACTTTATAATTAAATTTTCCATTTTTTTTTAATAAAATTAAAACGGAGTAAATTCTTTGTTTTCAAAGTAAAAGCATTACAAAATTAAAAATTACTTAATAAAACAAATTTAAAAATATTTTATTACTTTTGTATTTGAATTGTTATTTGTAATAAAAGAAAATAAACTGTAATACTTTATAAATTATATGAATATACATTACTTAATCATTAAATTATTTTATTAATATATTTTTTAGACATGTAGACATATTGTATATACAGTGTAGCTTAAAAAACAACACTAATTAATAATAATTGAAGATGAATTATAGTATTATAGTATAAAATTGGAATTTTTATATTACTAGTTATATTAAAATTATTTTACAAACAAGAAATTGCATAAAATATTATAAAAGTATGATTTATAAAGTGCATGTATAAATATAATGATCAGAAGTCTTTAGAATTCATACATTAATTTATAAAATTATAATTCGACTTAATGATTAAGAATAGATTTTTATATTTATATATTTTAAAAAGAAAAATTAAATTTAATAATGATTTGATTAAATATTTCGGAAGAAATTATAATGATATTGAGTGCGCATTTTAATTTTTAATTTAATAAAAATTTTATACAAAAATCTACATTGTGATAGAAGATGTAAATAATCAATGGTTAGGATATTGAAGTAATATAAATATTTTTATATCATTATTTCATTTTACCTAAATTTATTTATTTTGGTATAGAATGGTCTATTAGTTAAAAATTTATTATGAAATATTATCTATTATACTTAAATTTGGCAATGAATCTTCTATTCCACTGTGTGCAATTACATATTCAGAAACAGATATGTAAATTGCAATAAACAGTCCAATAATACTAGCTGCATATACGCTGCGTTCTAAAATAATACCTGTAGCAACTGCAAGTCCAAAATATGTAATATAACGAGTCCAATTTTCTTGAGTTTTACGTCCAAGAAGATCTTTATCTAAGGTAGAATTAATATTACTGTACTGTGGTATAAAATAAATAAAAATAAAATATTGTATTTCAAATACTTACTAATACATAAACTACCTTTCTTCTCAAATCCTTCAGTACACTGATCGCACATGTCAGGACCGTCTCCCAAGCAGCCGTTGCAAGCTTTATCACAAACTAATTGAAATTAAAGTTAAATTTAATAAGTTGAACTATTTATATTGAATCCATTTATGAAATCAAAAACTTATAATAAAACTTAAACTAAAAAAACATCATTTAAACAAAGCATAATACAAGAACTATTTTTCAAATTTATAATTTCAGTCAAAGCTGTAAGGTCTATATTTTCATTATACAATGAAAATATCATTTGATTAACATATTTTAATAAAAAGTATATTATAAAATATTATAAAAATCTATTATACATTTTTTCATGAATTAAATATCCTTATTTAAATTAAAAAATAATTTAAATATATTTTTTCAAACTCTTTGGTAATACATATTTTCGTTAATATATTGATAAAAGCATTTTAATTTACCTATACAAGAAAAGTTGCCTTCATTGTTAATGCAAAAATGATTGTCTGGGCAACTATTTTTTATTTCAATGCATTCATCAACATCGAAACAACCTTTTCCATCAATATATTTCCATCCTGGGTTACATTCATGACAGTCCTTAGAACTTCCTCCTAGACATGTAAATTTACATGCTCTATGACAAGAAGAGCATAATAATTTTTTTTCATCTTTATAAGACGTATAAAATCCATTGGCACATTCAAAACAATATTCTCCAGTATAACCATTATCACATGTGCATTTACCATTTCCCTTTCTAGTTCCTGCACCCTTACATTTTCCATTACTATTACAAACATTATCTGGATATCCTGAACACTTTTCACAATTGGGTCCATATTGATTTTTTGGACAACATTTCTTAGCTTTTTGTATACATAAAAAATCAAACAAATCTAAATTATTATTTTGATGTGTAAACCACCATTCTTCAATAAAAGTTTCTATATCATCTGCGAGTGAATGACACTGAGTTTCACCATATTCAACATCTTTGCATAATCCTTCTTGAATTTCAATTAACCGTACCTCGCTAGTTTTATAAGAACCAAGCTTATCTTCTTCCCAAGCACTGTCTCCACCTTCAAATTTTCCACGACTCGTTTTTTCAATTCCCTAAAAGAAAACCTTAAATATCAAGCATTTACCGTATTTTTTCTTTCTTTCGATATTTACCTTTTTGAAACTGTCAACCAATATTTTGCATGCTGCACATGGTGGTAATATCATATTTTTATTTTCTTCACTATTCTTATGTCCTGAAGTTTTATCACTACCACTGCTAACAGGAGAATATAAAAGTAAAAAGAGAACTGTATGAGTAGCAATGTATATAATTTTCATTGTCTTTTAACTGTTAAGAAGAAATTCAATGTATTAATGCAATAAAGACTTTTTCATAAAATATATAACTGAGCAATATTAAATATTTTTAATTTTTATTCCCCTATTCTCCCTAACAAAATCTTTTATAAATACTTCATACAATTATATTTATTTATAATTATTATACACTATTTATAATTAAAATTATTATGTATTAAAATGCACTATAAAAAAAAAAAAAAATTATCGTATTAATAAATACGTTGTATATTGAATTATATTAACTTTAAATTAGTGAAAATGCACGGTTATGTTTGATAATGATACTTTTATAAAATTAACATTATTTAATGAACTTTTAGAAACTTTAAAAATTTTTTAATAATTTTGGAAGCTGCTTTTGGTATAATTAATTTTTAAAAATAGCAATAGAATTATTTAAATTTTTAAGATAGAAAGTGTATATGTTAATAATATCAGCTAATATTCTGAACACGTAACCACCAATCACATCGTGACACTATACCGGTAGTGATGTACAAGTCAAAAGATAATATAATAGGTGCCGTAGGTGCCGTGAAACCGTAATTGCGTAGCGCGAGTCGAAGAACAGAATTCAATGTTAAAAAAAATAAAATAATAATAATAATCAATAATTAGGAAGACAAACTTTTAAGAAAATAAAAAAAAAATTTTTTTGAAGTAAAGCGAATGTATTTACTTCACATACTATTCTATTGATCTATTCCTATTTCATATATTAAGTAACTAATTTATATAATTTTTATATATTAATAAAATTTAATATATTTTAATAATTATAATAATATAGATTTATACTTATATATTTTAAAGCTCTTATAAATGTTTCAAATCTAGCTTACGTGAAACTTATATAACATTTGTGGAAAGTACATTGACTAAATATATGAAACTTATAAAACATTTTAAAATTCTGAATTGATGAATCTACTATCTCAGTATGTGTTTTGTTTTATCGATATTCTTTATTAATTCTATAATGTTTTATACCGTAGAATTAAATAAAATTAAGTTCTTAACTAAAAGTACAATCATATCCCGAAGTAAATTAATTTTATAATTAATTAATAGTTCAAAATTTTTCGAGAGATGATAAAAATTAAATAATATTATTTTAGAAATATATATTATGTGCTCTTATTGCTTTAACAGAAATGGATTGTGGTAAGGCTATAGATATTAATCATAACAACTCAGTCATAAATTACTTTCTTTATTTATAACTTATGTATTTCATTAAAAAAAAATAGATATGCGTGACTTGATAAAATTTTTTTCAATAAATCGGTAATAAATAGAATTTTAAAGTTACTTGTAATAATGGTCTTATTTATAAACGATTGGAAAGCCACTGATTTCCTTTCATTCTATTTATTTATTAACTAGCTAATTAATTTTGTCTTATTCATTATGAGAAATTATGAAAGCGTTATTCTTGAATATTAACTAGTAGATTTTTAATTGTATGCAAGAAACGCTTAGCCTTTACAGTGTAGAAATGAAATCAGTTACATATATCATCTTCTTATGTATTTGCACCCAGCACTATTTTTTCTTCTTTCTACAGTAACGATAACACTAAAGACAATAATAAAATTGTATAATAATGTTAAATATGGATTTTACGAGTTCTTATTTGTAAATGATAATGTGAATAATGCGGAAATAGATTCGTAAGGATTTAATTATACTATAAAAATTTAGGGATTATTATGAAAGGGATACGATAAATATTGTAAAAAAAAAAAAGAAAAAAGAAAACCCGATGGTTGAATGAACAATTCTATCGAAAAGGATATGACCAAAGATATGATTATCACTTAACACGCATTGAATAATTCGGTAAATATAGGTGAAATTCCAATTTATTCAAGTTAAATGTAAAATAGATACGAAAAATAAATATTCAATTAAAAGTTACTAGTTTTTAAAATTAAAGTTTATATATAAATTTCGACAAGTTTTTTTTTAAAGAAAAAGTATTTATAAAATCTTTCTCATCATCATTTATATTTTCCATATTGTAAATAAAATATAGATTATAAAATATCAAGTTAAGCTTAAAAATATATAAGCTAATTATAGGATTTGTAATTAGAATGTCTTTTATAATTAATTGATAAAGTTTCACCATCAAACATACATTATTTCTAGTTATTCATAAAAGGTAAATTAAAATTAAAAACAGCTTGATACGATAAAATTTAGTATTATAAAAAATAAAAGCTTAAAAATTATAATATTAAACAATATAAATAAGATGTATACTTAAATAAATAAAGCAGTTAAGTATAGATTGATACATATAAATATTAAAAGAGCATTATATTACAATATAAATAGAATTTTTAATTTTAATCTTAAATATACATAATTCTTGACAAATCTATTATACTGTTATGATATACCTTTACGTCAAGGTTTTTTATAATAATTACAATAAAATAATTTCTTCTATAATAGTACACATGCATCGAAATATACTGGTTCAATTAAAAATTAATTTTTATGCAAAATAAAAAAGAACATATTTAAAAATATTCTTTTATTTTCGAGATTTATGTTCAATGAGTTGGTAAAGTTGACACTATTTCAGATTTAACATTGATAATTGCTGCAGGTTTGTACTTGAAAATTTTCATAAATCAAATTAGTACGAAAAATCGAGATTTAATTGATGTAAACGTAGTATAATATAATTTGACTTGTTTGATGAATTTATTAATAAAATTATTTTGTAATTATCATTTAAAAATTAATTAATTATGATAAATGAATACATCATAGTAAAATGAACATAAAATTAATAATTTTATTTTTATAAAATAATTTATGTTTGAATTATATTTCAAGTTTTATTAGATTATTGTTTTCAACATTCTGGCAAATAAAAGCGTTGTAAATAATAACATTAAGGTTCTCAATAAATAATTTAAATTGTTACTGATTATGAATAGAGCTATTGACTAGATAATATCAATTTTGCAAATCTAAGTGGCTTGGTTCACTTGGTGCCTCAAATGTACGTACGTTTTACAAAAAGGCAAGATATTTTTTTGTAAATTAATATATTGATATGTATTATAAATAGTTTCAATCTGTATAAAATATTGAAAAATCATTCAACTTTGATTTTATCTTTAAAAATAACTATGAATTTAGAACTTTTTATGACAGTAAGTAAGTAAGTAGTTTCACATAGTTAACAAAACTGCTAAGCCGCCTGTATATAAACCAATTAGCTCAGACTAACAATGCGCATGTCAGTGCAATGTGTGCCTCAACTGGTTACTCTTCTGATTAGTATTGATGCTGTCCTTCTTAATTATGGTTTATATTATATGTATAAAATCACTTGTCACGTAGTTCCTAGTACTGCCGTCACAGTTTTTGTATTTGTTCAGTAGCAACATTATATACAATATATTTTAAATAGTGTAGGCATTTGCATTTGTTTAATAATTTAGTAACTTTAAATATATTACTATAATCTCATATTCCATGCTATACTCGTGAATTCTATTCATTTGCGTACTAATCATATATCATTATTGGCGTTCCGGTTTCTTATCAAATATGAGTAGCAAAAGTATTTTGTATTTTGTATTCATTAATTATTAATCCAATTACTTATTAGTAATATTCGGTATTTAAGAGTGAAAAAATGAAATTAGTATTAATAAAAGTTCATAAATTAAAATTAATATTAATTCTTACTTTTACAATGTAAAAGAATCTAACCTCTATTTTTGTGAATTCTATTTTAAAAGTACAAAATGTAAGATAAGATTTTATTTTTAGATATACTTGTTTATTAAAATATAATAGTTAGATGCTCAATATATTACAATATATGCATGTGCACCATTCCTTTAGTTCTGAATTATTGAGTTTCTTAGAAATTAATATTTGGACTTTTAACTAATTGTAAGTATTTGTGTATAACAAAGTTTTAAAAAATACTATTCTCAGTAGTCGTTAAATACTGTATAGTTCAAAGATTTCTGTATAAATATTCTGTGACTTTTTTGTATAGTTTATTATATTAATTTTGATTGAATATTTAATTTATATTAGGTTATTATTATATATTATAAATATTTATTTTTTATTAGAATCTATATAATTTTAAAGTAAATTTTAGATGACTATAATTGAGGTTGAGATTAACGAGAAATTAAGTAGTACAAATGTTGAACAAATTTATTATAAATAATCATAAAGGTATACCGTTATAGTCTTCCAGCAATTTGTACAGGTACTTATTGTAATACAATTCAAATGGTTAATATATTTATTGTAGATCAGCTTCTAGATAAAAATAGATTTATATTAGGTAAAGGTAGATTAACAAATTCTCCAATATGCGTTTATTTTATTAATTATAAATATTTATATCTGTTATTTATATTAATTTACTTAACTTGTAAACTGGGCAAATATTTAACTGTGCAAAATAGAAACCGTATATTTAATATAGACATTATATGTGTTAAAAATTATATTGTACTATATAGTATATATGTAACAGTATATTAAAAAACCGAATTATAAAAATAATTAACTAATTAAAAATCTATTTTTTGTAGAAAAATGAATTAATTAATATTATTTAATAAACATTTAATTTAGTTAAAAATAATATAATCATAATTACTTAATTGACAATACTTTATTTGCTTATACTTTGATTGAAAAACTAATTTCAAAGCATATTTGCAATACTTATTAAATATATTCATGACTAAAACCCTATAAATATTTATATTGTTAATATATTGGAAAAGTAATTTTTATAAATAAATAAAAAAAAGAATGATAAATGTGTGCTATACAAATTCAAAATACATTATTTTATTTTAATAATTTCTAATACTACATGTAGTTTATATATATATATATATATATATATATATGTGCGCGCGGCCGCGCGTGTATGTGTATGTATGAAAATATAAATTAAATATATAAAAGAATGAGAAATATCTTAGAGTGGTAAAATTGCACAAAAATATTACAAAAATATTAAAATTAAAATATACATATACATTTATAAAATAAAGATAGATATAAAAATCTAATAAATATTAGTCGTATTTATGTATAAGATTTTATTGATCACCATAGATCAATTAATAGCTATAATGGAATGTACCTCTTAAATTTGACTTTAAAAACTTTGTTTTATTAGTATTTGATTCAGTAAAGATGTAACAGTAAGAGATAATAAAAATTAAACTTTTACATATGTTTCTTAGAAATTCTGGAATATTATTTATCTTAACGCTTGGTGGAAATCAAATAGCATTACTTGAGAATACTATACATATTTATTTTTATAAAAATATTGATATTGAAAAATTAATAATTTAATTCACTATTTATTTAATTTTAATTTCATTGTGAATGAACTAAAAAATTTACATGATTCACAAATCTAGTAAAAATGTATATATCTAGAAATGTACGTTCCCATCTTAATAATTTGTCTAATAATTTTTATAAAGTTAAAAATGATTTAGCAAAACTAAATAATGAATATTTTTGTATTCTATGATTTGATAATTTTTCCGTTTTCATTGAAATAAAATTTTAAACAAAGTATTATTAGTTTAATGTAACTACAGTCTTTTTTTAAATGCACCATTGTGATTGTATTCATATTAAAATGTTTTTCATTCCTTAGCAATTGAATGACGTTTAAAATTTTGAACCATAATATATATAAAAGGAATTGTTATATTATATCAACTTAACTTATCTTCAGAGACTTTTTTCTTTCGGCAATATGTTTAACAAATAAATAAAAAAATACAATAAGCACAAAATTAAAAAAAAATATTGTTTTAATTTTCTGTTTTCGAAGCAATCCATACAATGTAATAATCGATATTATTTTAAGTGCTAATTGCCAACTAGAAGTTTCGATTTGAGTAATCTCAATGTATGTATGTTAAATTTTAAATCTCAAGAAATATTAGATGTATTGATTGCTTTAAGTAATCATTAGTTCAACGAAACCAAAAATTTCATCACATTTTCCTGAATACAGCAGTTCATTAAATTTGGCAAATTGTATTGTAAGAATAAATCATATTTAACGTAGTAGTGTATATTTTAAAGAAAAATATCGATAGATTTAACGTTTATGGTTCGACTTAAATCGTTTATTTCCTCTTGGTGTTAGAAAATTTATCAAATCTATTATTGCAAGACATAAATATATAAGGTTGAATCGCGCTGTTGCAGATGTGCTACCATGTCCGAAAAAGAGGAGCGTTCCTCGCTCTATGTATTTCCGAGCCCAAGTTCAAGCCTGAACCCGGTAGTACAAATGACGCAAGTACGCCAGATAGATCAAGAATACACAGTGCCTACAGGGCCAATAACTATCAAAACACACACACGCTCAGCAAGCCATGGTGGAGTTCTTGCAAGCGTGAGCAGACCAAGCAGCAGCAATCTGCTGACGGCGCGACAGTCGGCTCTAAAAAAACCAGGACATCAACGCGCTTTCAGCCAAGGCCAAGTAGTGGAAGTGCCAATCGCTGGAAGCAGCCGAATCGGCTCCAAGACAGACTTCATCCTGCCGCCAGGTCATCGCGAAGATCGTCCGCAATCACCCAATACTGGCAAGACAACTTCTCATGGCCACTCAAGACAAGCTTCCAGATCAGAATCCATCTACACGATACGACGTAGTGCAGCACCACCCTGGTGGAGGAGAGCTTGGATCCGCTATTTTGGTTTTAATTCAGAAGAAGCTCAGCTACGAAATATCGCTCCGAGCCACCTTTTGCCATCTAAATTGCAATCAGCTGTCGACAACAGGTACTTAATTGTTATTTTTATCCTTACTGGCTTGCAAATTTATGGTTCATATTGATATCCGCAATCATTGTTTATGTAGCCTAACTGTATTTAAATGACCAATCACTCATATATTTTATATTTTATTTTATCTTAAATTTTATCTTATATTTGAATCTTATATTTTATTTAATAATAATGTTCAGCAATGCTTCTTATAATGTTAGCATATTGAGTTCCCAAATTATTTAGTCTATTTTTATTTATTTAATTACCTCTGGTTGTAATATGAAGCATTATTAAATAAGTTGCGCAAACAAACTTCGATTTTATTGCAATGGGCATAATGTAATTCAATCAAGTTTTTAAATAAGACAAGATATTAATAATACGATATATTTTGTGATTTATTTTATTCATAACCATATTTTCATAAATATATTTATTTTTCATCTTTATTTATTCTTTATTAAAAATCAAACAATTACTAAAATTGGGTTGAGTATTAATCATATATATATATATATCATATAGACATAAAATTGTATTATGAATATCCAGAATATAACTTTCATATGTATTTTAAATATTCACTTCATTATAAAATTTTATTTAAACATAAAAATATACGAAAAATTAAAATAATAAATATCTTCTGTATTTATGAGCAGATTAGTAAATGATGTATTGTATCTTTATATATTATATTCATAATACACTGTAATATTAACTTTTTTATTTTTATTGTATTTCATTAACATAACTATTTTTTTCATACATTATAATATTTAGATTATATATATATATATATTTTTTTTTTTTTTTTTTTTTTTTTTTTTAAATAAAATAGTATAAAAATGATTATTAACATGAAAAATTATAAATATATTGCGGAAGAATATACTTACTTATTGGAATATGAAAATATTGAGATTTTTAGTCATTTATATTAAAAAAAAGTTAAACGTTTAATTCAATAATTGAAAAGTTTTTGACGTAACGGTAGTATTATTTAATTTTGCCTAATAAATCCTTCTTTTGTAATATATTAATATTAAAGACATAAAAATTTACTTAGAAATAGAATTATTTTACTATTGGTTTTTGTTTAAAGGATACGCACAACAAAATATAATACATTGACTTTTCTTCCACGGAACCTCTTGGAGCAATCTTACCGAGTGGCTAACGTTTATTTTATTTTTATCGTTTTGTTAAACTGGGTACCTGCAATAAATGCCTTCGGCAAAGAAATTGCTATGATTCCAGTTGTTTTTGTACTTGGGGTTACTGCGCTCAAGGACTTTTTTGAGGACAGGCGAAGACTCGCTAGTGACAAGCGTGTTAATAATTCTACTTGTCGTGTTTATTTCAGGTAAATGTAATGGAAATTTTAATATCCATGTAATAATAATAATGATTATTTTAAAAATACATCATGCAAAGAAACAAGAACATGTTTATACAATTAGAGATGTAAAAGAGATAAATTATAGAAATTATACAATACAATTTTTAAATTTTAAATTCTGTATTTGCAGTTGCACAAATACATTATATATATATATATATATATATGAATGTATATATGTATGTATTTCAATTTTCAGTAATTTAATTTACAATAATATATTATTTTTAATAATAAATATTCAGTGTTACTATTCTTTAGACAGTTTTAGTTTTCAATTGTATAACGCAGCATTCAAATATATAAATTTATCTATATTTTATTAAACAAAATTTGTTAGTATTCAGTTTAAAATAAATAGTTATAAGACCTAGGATTATTTATAATATTCATACATAATGTTTAATTTTTTAAAAATCTACAAATTGTACGGGATAAAAATAATTTAACGCTTGGTAATAAATTATCGATGAATTAGTGAAATGTCGGGAAAAATATTACAAAAACTTAAAAATATATAAATTTGAGTTTCAGGTATTTTGTAAAATGCTATTTTTTTGTTTTGTTTTGTTTAATACTTTAACTAGATTAATAAAAATAAAAATACGATTTTTATTGTATAATTAGTACTTTAATTGTGTTATTTAAAAATCCAATTGATAATTTTTAAATATCAATTGAATTTTTAATAAAAAGTTTTTTCCTTTAGTGAAATTTAAAATAAATAAACTATTCTTACAATTATCTATTTCCAAAAATTTAAACAAATCGTTTTCAGAAATCGAGGTGAACGTCACTGTACTCATGATAGCTATTGTAAATAACATCTGTTAGAAAATATACACTCTCTGATAATTTAAAGTATATATAATAACTATATTTTATTTATTTGAATTATAATTTTTAGTATTTTTTAATTTTTATAAGCAGTGCGTATTACCATTTATATTTTGTGTACGTTAGACCTCTTTAAAAAATTAAATATATCTTTTAAAATTACTAATCGATTTAAAATTCTTATATATTTATTATTTATTGTTAATAAACCAATGTCAGATCATATGATTTTAAGAGAACATAGTTTTGGCTAAAATTGATATTTAATTTATTAAATACCAAATTAATGAAATATCAGATATATTAAAATTTTTCAACAACCTATACTAGGTTGACTCAAACAAATTTTTTTTTCCATATTGCATTCTTAAAAGATTGAATTGTTTCATTATTTACATATCTACTCATTATTTTTGAACAATTGAAACTAAATATATGACACCATTGTATTACATCTCTGTCACATATATTATCCCATGCATTATCCATGTACATACTTCATTTATAAAATAAGTCTTAATTTAAATAATTATTGATACTCTAGTGAAGGAGACAGATATATGAAAATACCTTGGAAAGATGTAAAAGTAGGAGATTTTGTTCATTTATCAAATAATGAAATAGTTCCTGCTGCTTTACTATTATTGCGTAGTAGTGATCCACAAGGTTTTGCATATCTTGATACCTGTAACCTTGACGGTGAAACGAATTTGAAACAACGACAGGTAATAAGAGGATTTCTCGATCTACAGGCGGATTTTCAACCGTCTAAATTCCGATCTATTATAGAAGTCGACAGACCCAGCACGAAAATTTACAGGTTTAACAATAACATAGTAACCATCTATTTTTTAAAGTTAAATTTAATGAATTTGTTCCAATAATTAATACATATAATTTCATAACTTTGATATAATTTATAAAACAGTTGTAAAGAGCAAGAAAAAAATTCTTGAACACTATTTTCCAAATATTCTTTAATTAAGCAATATCATAACTGTTATAAATATAAAATTCCGGTGGGATTCATAATAATTTCATAACACGTATTCTTAATTTATAACTAAATTACTAACAATATATTATACGTATTATAATATACAGATTTCATGGTGCTGTGATACATCCAAATGGATCAAGAATACCGGTTTCAACAGAAAATCTTTTATTAAGAGAATGCCTTTTAAAGAACACTGATTTTATAGAAGGAATCGTTGTTTATGTTGGTCATGAAACAAAAGCAATGCTTAATAATGGTGGTCCGAGATATAAGGTAAGATTTAATATTATAGTTTTTCTCCATTTTATAAAATTTTGTAAAAATAATGTAATGATCATTATTGATTAATATCCGATCAATTAATATTAACCATTTAACAATAAACATTATATAGCTAAAAAATAAAACAATGATTTTTTAATTAATTAAAACATAATTGGATGTACCCGTTTTATATTAAATAAGCACATATTGATAATGCATAAGAAACATTTTGAAAAATATAAAGAAATTTATAACTGTATATATTCGATGAATTGGTATTTTTTATTTAGTATTTAATGTAATCGAGTGATTAAAATTATAAAAAAAATGTACAAGCGTAACTTTTTTATTTTCTAAATGCACGTTTTTATAATTGTTTAAATCTTAACTAAATGTTACAAAAATATTTATATATTTAATGTTATACGAATTAGAATTTTATTCATATGATAATATATATAATATAATAATATTCATACGAATGTGAATTTTCAATGACTGCAAATTTTTAATAAAATGAAAATATATTGAATGAAAAAATACTTCAAATATTTTTATTTTTTATTATAACAAATATTTGTATAGCGAATTTTTATAATTATATTTGTGATGAATAGTGTTTAAAAATGTTTATAATTTTGATATTAATTTATCCAAATCTGGTATTTAAAATTACAAGAAACAATGAAAAAATACAATACAAATACTATTATATGTATAATATATATATATATATATATGTAATAATTATAGTAAGTAAAAATTAATAATTTTAATATAGTCCTTTTCATTTACTAAATTCAATTGTAATTTGTTTTGTATGAAGGAAAATTTTATATTAAAATATATATATATTTACTTGGCTCTATCGGTATACTCTTAACACTGAATCAATAATTTTGATTAATTCCATTACTTTATAATAATTTTAATTATATTTTAAAAATAATATAAGTCATTATTAATATTGAATAAATACATATTTTTATACATACGTAACAATTAAAAATTTTTTTTTTAATTGTTGTTATTAAACATAAGATATTCAAATTATAAAAACTTGAATTGATAATAATATTTAATAATTTAAAGATATTTATAGATCATAAATAAAATTTAAAATCATATCTGTAATATATTTAATGTTTAGAGATCTCGGTTAGAGTGCCAGATGAATTTAGACGTAATATGGTGCGTAATAATTTTGATAGTATTATGCATTGTTGGAGCAGCTGGATGTAGGTTTTGGTTATCAGCTTATACATCTGTGGGTCCTGTTCCTTTTCTACCGATTATACAAGATCCAGCTTATGAAGGCATACTTACCTTTTGGACTTTTATCATTATTTTACAAGTGATGATTCCGCTTAGTCTTTATGTAACTATCGAAATGGCCAAAGTTGGACAAGTTTATCATATAATGAATGATACAAAGCTCTATGATTCAAAAACTAATCGACCGGCTGAATGTCGTGCTCTTAATATCACAGAGGAACTTGGCCAAGTAAATTTTTTATTTTATCAATCTACAAGAATAATACAATTGAATATACATCCAAACTTATAAAATTGTTGATTTTTTGACAAAAAATGTGTAACGACGCTTAAATTTTATATCATTTAATTTTATCACTTAATTTTATATCGTTTGTTTCTTAGAAAATTGTTTTTGATTTATAAATTTTTAAGTGTGTAAAATAACTATATTTACTGTCTATAGTAATTTGTATTTAAACAAATTTTTTTCAATTATAATTGATTGAACAAAAAAAAATAAATTTACAAAGAAAGGAGTATAATAATAAATAGGTATACTAGAAATAATAAACAATGCAAATTAAAATGAGTAATCAATATAAACAAAATTTTGAGTGATATTTAAGCATTTTGATTAATTTTTCATACTCAATGTTTGAAAAAATGAATATTAAATGAATTAGCATTTACTGGACTAGTACAAGCAATTTATTGGTATGCGAAATAAAATAATAACAATTATTTTTATAAATTTCTTTTAAAAGTAATAATATATCAATATTGTTTAATAATAACAATATATCAATGATATTTCTTTACTTTGTAGGCTTCTAGAATATCAATAAATTATTTTTTATTACATCGTTTCATAGTAATTTCACATTTGTTCAATTTGAATTATTTCCAATTTTCGTTGTGGATAAATATAAAGATACTTTCATATTTTTAGAAACATTAATTCTGATAAATAATAGGATTTCTCTCAGAATTCGAGTAATGTTGAAGATTTCGTATCTAATAGCATTTTTAAATATAGACATTTTTTGATAAGAACAAGTATTGCTTTATTTATATTATTGCATTAATTTCCGTAGTCTATTAATCATATTTTTTTATGATATCATGATACAATAGTATAGCATAATTTTCGAATGGTTTCTTAATAATACTGTTTGCTTTTTCTAATTTTGATAATTAACCGCAATTCCCCCTATCTATAATTAAGCCGATGAGAAGCTCTTTAATTAGGAAGTTCTAGTTTTATACGACATCCATGTATCGTGCTAAAGCTGATAAAACCTGTTGCTAATATATAAATCAATTTGCCAAAGTTTTATTTTGACTTTTGTTATAAAGGTAGAGTAAAAAAAGAACAATAAAATAATTTGAAGAATTCGTTAAAAAAAAATTTAAATATATATAATGTAAAAATTCGTTAATTATGAGCATTTTTTCTCTTTAAATTTTCTAATTATTAATTGAAAATTAAATTCTTAGATTGTTTACATTTGATATAAACCATATGTACACTGAATTATACAAGACAGATGATATTTTACAAAACTCAATTTTATAATAAAATTTAATTCATTTACTTTTGAGTATTTTTTATAATAGATTACTTTGTGTTAAAAATATTAATTGAATTAATTTAATATAAATAGGTGCAGTACATATTTTCAGACAAAACTGGAACATTAACTGAAAACAAAATGTTGTTTCGAAGATGTGCCATCGGCGGGCAAGATTATACGCATACTGGGGATGGGGAAAATCTCGTTGCCTGTACAAGGTTAAAGGAAGATTTACTAATAGGTACTTGCCGACATAGACTTCAAGAATTTCTTATTCTATTGGCGATTTGTAATACTGTCGTAGTTAATACTCATCCTCATCGTGACATTATGAATTCCAGTGGCGTAATAGAAAACACACAAAAGAATGACGACGCCGATCCCACAAGGTATTTTAAGTTTTATGTTTTTATGTTTTATTTCTATTTTATTTAGTAATACCTGAATATTAATAATTATTTAGTTATATTTAAACATTAATATTAATACCTAAATATTAATAATCGTGGGTAGTTATTTTGAAATAAAATTTCAAGAATTTATTAAGCCATCGAATAAGTAAATTTTATTAATATACTAATATTCAATCATACTATATTTATTTAATATATATAGATGTATTAAAATGAAAGATCTTTATTACTGATTTATTTATAATTTATAAAGAAATCATGCCTCAGCGGGTTCCGTTGTAGAGTAGACTGTATTTTTACGTGTTTTTTCTTCGTTATATTTAATTCTATATGAATTTATTTTTTCTCATCTGTACACTTAATCTCTCTAAAGTATCAAATACTCAGTTATACGAATCGAAAAATATGTTCTGTTGTTCTTTTAAAAAGTTAAAGTGGTGAATAATAAATCAAACAATTTTTTAAATCTTCATACAAGTATTCTATTTTTTTCTGTAGGACATGTCACATGTCACAAATATGCTGGAAGTTAAACTTTACAATTAAATATACGATTGATAAAATGCAACTATATACTTAAATTTTAATTAATAATTATATGACATATATATATATATATATATATATATATATATATATATATAAAGATAATAATTTTTTAATATTTTTTTTACTATTCGAGAGATATTCTTAAACATATTCTCAAATCCTTTTATAATTTCAGTTTTACGATTTTTATTCCAATCGAATATATTTAATGTATTATATGTATTAAATAATAAGATAAATTACATTTTTTTATAAATTTAATAAATTTTGAAACTTCTATAAATCATCGTGCATAAGATACCGTTAATAATCGATTAATTTTTTCTGAAATATTTATATTTTCTAATTAATATTTTTCAATGTATTCCATTAATTTACTAATTTTTAAACAATTTTGATTATTTTTTTTATTAACACTTATTAAAAATAAAAGATATTAATACGAGAATCTTATAAAAACTTATAAAAAAAATAATATTAATGCATTAATGATTTAAAAGTATATAATTAAAAAATATAATTACTAAATTAGAATGTATATTAAAAAACTAAATAAATTATCAATACTACTACAAACTAAATACATAATCAACAGTAATTTGTGTATTTTATAACAACTGTATAAAATTATGATTGATAATATTAAAGTAATTATTTATATGTATTTAATTTAGGATTATTGAATCAATAATATACATTAAACAAGTGTTATATTGTAATTAATGTAATTTAAAGTATAACTCACTTTTAGGATGATCATGTTTAAAATAAGGATTTTATGTTTATAAATTTAGTTAGTGGAAATGACTTTATATAGTGAACTGCAAGTAAAAAATATATTCATTGTATAACAATTTTTTTAAAAAGAAAATAGTAAAATTTTTTATATGCATTATGTATTTCTTGTAAAAGTAAAATATTTTAAAATACTACATAAAGATTGTGACATTTTTCAACATCAGATTTTAATATTGAAATGTAGTTTTAGTTTTAATACTCAAATTAATAAAAATTGAGTCTTAAAATATTATATTTTATATTTGTTGTATTTGTTTACAGTAATTAAATATAATTTTTATTTTCATTAATTTTTAAATTAAATACATTAAGTTTTTCACGTGTTTTGTGATTGATAAATTGATGAATCAATTAAAGGTATGTCCAAGTAACAGAATCAAGGAGAATAACTCCAGTTTCTGTTGAGACATCTACTTCAACTTCTGCTCTATCTTTTACTTCAATTCATTCAGCTACAAATTTTGAAGAGGTTGCTTCATCAATAAATTCAATGAAACTGTCAGAATCTGGAAATACAGCAATTTTAAACCACAAAAGTTCAAGGTGTGAAATTGCGTCAAATATAAATCACTCCTGTAAAGTTAAAGAAATAATATTTTCTTTTTTATCAATCAAACAAGTTTCTTTCTAGACCTAAATTGCCGAATTTACCAACTATGTCAACTATAAGTATGCTTACAAAAAGACTTTCTCCTTTGGGTCATAGAAATAATTTAAATTCAATGTCTGAAAAAAATGTTAGATCACTTATGGAAACTCAAAGCACACTGGAAATATATGAAGCTGAAAGCCCAGACGAATTAACTCTTGTCCAGGCAGCTAGAGCATATAATGTTAGACTAACTCGAAGAACTACTAAAAACGTTATTGTTTCATTACCAGATAAATCAATTTTAACATTCGAAATTTTAAAAGTAAGTTTTTACATTTTGATATAAATAATTTTTCACGTGTTATGAATTCATAAATCGATATGACAATTCAGAAAAAATGATTTTCTAAATAATATAATTATTTAAGAATTTATTTTACTTTAATTATTATTATTGTTATTATTATTATTATTATTATTATTATTATTTAAGAAAATTGTATCTCTATGTACTTTGCTCGTATTTATCGATGATTATACATTTAATTAAATGCATGTACCGTTTGTATTTGGATACATAATTAAAATAAAGTTATATTTAAATATACAAACTGTATATAATTGATTTGAAGGGAAAATAAATTTTATATTGTAAATGGTTGTAACAATAAATGGAATATATAATAATATTATTGTCTTTTCACAGATTTTACCATTTGATTCGAATAGAAAATGTATGTCGATCGTAGTGAAACATCCTCGTACTGGTGAAATTGTATTATACTGCAAAGGTGCAGATTCAACAATTTTATCGGCATTAAATTCGAATGAAGAAGAGTCAATAATAACAACTAAAGTTAGGCAACACTTACATTCATATGCTCGTCAAGGACTTCGTACACTGGTTATGGCAAGAAGATCCCTTACGGCTCAAGAATACGAATGCTGGTTACAAAAGCACATAGAAATTGAAACAAGTAACGAAAACAGTGAGCGCAGAATACGAGAATCTTATACCAACTTGGAATGTCAACTGAGTTTGTTGGGCGCAACAGGAATAGAAGACAAACTACAAGCTGGTGTCCCTGAAGCAATGACTAGCCTTGTAGCAGCTGGTATTATTGTCTGGGTTTTGACAGGTGATAAACCAGAAACTGCAGTGAACATAGCTTATTCTGCATGTCTCTTTAGTCCAACTATGCAGCTTTTACATCTACAAGCAAGATCCAAATCTATGGCAGAAAGTTTAATCCATACTTATCTAGAAGCGATCGAATGTGAAAACATGGCAAGTGTAGATTCAATCGAAAACATACATATGCAATCAAATGAGCAAGAAGCGAATGAAAAATTCACCTATAGAATTGGTAATTCTTGGCATCGTCAACGCGCTCTCATTGTTGATGGGAAAACTCTCACCTTTATTCTTGATCCAAGATCTGGATTAACAGTCCCATTTTTAAAATTAACTAGAGCTTGCTCCAGTGTTTTAGCCTGCCGAGCTACACCACTACAGAAGGTATACCAACAATTTATGATCACTTATAAATTTAATCAATACACTTAATGCTTATTGTTTTTCAAATATTTTTGTTGAAGGCCTACATAGTCAAAGTAGTAAAAGAACATCTTAGAATGAGAACTTTAGCAATTGGCGATGGTGCCAATGATGTTAGCATGATACAAACGGCGGATGTTGGTATTGGAGTATCTGGTCGAGAAGGTACACAAGCCCTAATGGCTGCCGATTTTGCTATTGCAAGTTTTCCTATGTTAACTAGACTCTTATTGATGCATGGACACTGGTGCTATGATAGATTATCTCGAATGATACTTTATTTTTTTTATAAAAATGCGACGTTCGTTTTTCTTATTTTTTGGTTTCAAGTAAGTTAATTTCTTCTTATTAATTTTAGTAAAGTATATCCTTTTTCAGTTAATATCCTTACAATCTAATTTTTATAGCTTTATTGCGGTTTTTCTGGAACAGTAATGGTTGATCAAATATATTTATTATTATATAATCTATTATTCACATCACTGCCTCCACTTATGCTTGGAATTTATGATCAAATAGCTCCAGCTAAACTTCTTTTAGAATCACCCAGATTATATGAAAGAGGTCGATTAGCATCTGCTTATCAACCGCATTCATTTTGGATAACAATGGCTGATGCTCTGTATCAAAGCATCATCATTTTTTTTTTCACAGAAGCTGTATGTTGTATGAATAAACATTATGCTATTTGAATTTTAAAGCAAACTTTAATTTAATTATTTTCATTTATAGGCATACCATGATTCTGATGTAGATATTTGGGAATTTGGTTCAACAATAACAACTTCATGTATTATTGTTATGTTAATTCATATTAGTATTGAAACAAAGTCATGGGTAAATAAATTTATTAATTTTCTTTTACAAATTATGATAGTTATAAGTAAAACTAAAAGATTTGTAAACATAATTTATCTATTTATAGACCATGATATCCGCTGCAGCAAATTTAGTATCTTTTGGAGTATTTTTTGGGTTTAGTCTACTTTATAATACAATTTGTATAAATTGTATGGGTTTGCCTGGTTCATATTGGGTTATGCAAAAAGCAATTGGTCAACATATATATTGGTTAACTGTAATTCTTACTTCAATTCTCGCCATATTACCTAGGTATATATTTTAGATTTTACATGTAAACAAATAATTTATTCTCATTTAAAATGGTTTGTTAATGTCAATTATAATCTCAGTTAAATAAAAAGTTAATTTAAATTTTACTTTGAAGATTTATATTTAGCTTTCTATTTTTTAAGTAAAATTTAAACAATCTTTATGTAATTATTATTAATTCTGTTATAAACTGAAATTTAAAATTTAATTAATCGTTGAATATTTATTTTATATAAAAATTGATTGATCTTAATTTATTAATCTAATATTTTAAATGATTATTTATAAATACTTTATTGTTCATAAAATTTCTTTTATAAATCTGTATATTTTTGAAAATACAGATTTAAAATTTTAATTTATATAAATTGAAGTAATAAATTCGCAAGAATATAAATCCTATAACGAACTGATCTTTTTTAATATTCTTTATCACGGTATAGGTATTTATTTCATAAATTATATTATAATCATTACTTCTATCTCTAATTATTTCATTACTTTCATTTGATGATGTAATATTTATTCATAAGTATAAATTAAAAATGGACTTAATTAAAAATAAACTTCATAATTTCTTGACGCAAAGAATAAAGAAATATTTATAACACATATTACATGATTATTATGAATAAACACATAATTTTATATTAGAATTAATAACCAAAACTAATAAAAATAAAGATGTGTTTAAATAATATTCTAATTCACACACTTTATAATAATGTACGATTATTGATAAAATTAATAGCCTGTGTTTCGATAATTTATAATCATTCACTTAAATAAATTACAAAAGTTTGTTATTCAATTTCAGGATTATTTATAAATCAGTAAAAAATACAATTTCTCCTGATATGATGCAAAGAGCAACTATTGCATATTTAGAAAAAACTAGGAGATTTGAAAATCAAATAGTAGTTGGAAAAGGTAATGGATTTGTTGCTGGTTGGTCACGATCTACACAACGTGCAACAATAAGGTAAATAATAAAACTTGATCATATATTAATTATAATATCAAGTATAAAATGATTATATTATATTGATATGAAAAAATTGGTTTGATCTACTCATCACTACTTAGAAAATAAATAAAATCTTTTTAATATTTCAGAGCAGAAAATTACACTTCCAAAAAGAGTGCTTTATCCACTATTATTACATGATAATTAAAAATTTGAAAGAATACACCATCTTTCAAAAAATGAATCAAGAAATAGAAAATATTCCAATCAATACTAAAAAAATTAAATTGTTACATATTTTAAATGTGAATACTCTTTAAAAACGAACAGCCATGCAATTTCTCAAAAGCAATATTGTTATTTGATAATATTGTCATAAATTGTGTGGGTATTATTATTGTTGTTTTAGTCAAGTGACCTTAATCACAGACTATTGTTGATTGTATTTATTGGCTGTGATTTTTAGGGACCAAGATTATCAGTCCAAATTAGAAAAACTACAGTTACATATATTGTTATATCATATTTAATTGTAATAACATGTGGATCAAAAAGAAACTTTATATCTTTTATTATGTATAATTTTTATGTCTATAATAGAATATTTTTAAGTAACAATATTTAAAAGAATATTCTTTACTGTAAAAATTAGTCTTCAAAATGGCATGCAATATTAGAAACATCATATTTGCTAATAAAATTATTATTAATTATCTTTTTTCATAAATACAAATAAAATATTAAATTAACATATTAATATTAAATATAAGGCGTTTTAAAAATATTACAGCTTATGATTAATAAAAATTGGAAATTTGAGATAATTTCAATTTCAAAATATGAATAAACAAGAAATGTATATACACGGGAATATTTTAATTATTATAACGGAATTATTGTATATATTACTTTTCATTTTATACTCATATTTTTGTGTATAAATCATTTATTTTAAGTCATTCATTCATTAATTGTTTCTCATAAGTATAAAATAACTGTACATATATGATTAATAATTGTAGAACGTAAGTATCTATTCAAATAATTATTTAATATTGTACCTGTACATTTATAAATAATTTATATTTCATTGTTTAATTTATATTTAAACAATTATAATAATATTAATTTGTTTAAAAATAATAATTTGCTTCTAATATAACTTAGGATATTTTATATAACTGTAAAATCAAAATAAATAAATTTTATAAAATTACAAATTATTTTATTCTTTATTGTACACATATGCATGCTTTATAATATTATGAATATTTTTTATTTATATGATAAATTTATACCATAAATTAATATATTATATGCCACATTAAAATGGGATACTTTTTTTTTAATATTTTGTAAGGCCTTAAAGAATATGGTGCAATATTTATTATGAGTAGAAAATAGTTATTTAATCATTTTTTGATTATTTATAAAAATTATAATGCGTTTATTTAAAAATTAATTTTTTAACAAATTAGACAGAAACGTTCCAACAATATTTATCAATTTAGTTCACATTTATTTGTAATTTAAATATTGCATTATGTATTAAGTATGATGGATTTATTGTAATAATTTTTTTTTAATTATTTAATGATTTTTATCAAAAATTCCATATTTTCAGAAAACTATTATCTTTTTTAAAAATTCATGAAAATTATTTTCTTCTTATAACTATTAATACATATCTTATTATTATTTATTTTTTTTTATCAAAAATAAATATTAAATAAAAGCCATTTGGATAGGGAACTATTGGTTCAGCATTTGATTACTATTGTTTTAGTATATATAAATTATACAAGTTAGAAGCAAAGCTAAAATTATATTTATATATAATAGTATATAATAATAGTATATAATAGTATATGTAATAAAATTATTCATAATTTAAATTAAATAGATATTTGTGAGCTCTTATTAAAATGAAGTAGACAGAATCATGTATATATTAAGGTTACAACGAAATAAAGAATTAAAGATAAAAGAAAATTTGCATCTTAAATATCATCTGTAGTATATACCATCAGTTACGTCTTCAAATTGTAAATTAATTATTAGATTAATGAATATTCTATTAAGTAATTAAAATACACTTTACATATCACGTTTTATTTCTATCTTAATATTTGAAGTGTCTGAAACACGCCATTATCTTGAAAGTAGAGTATTTGTATAGAAGAAATACTTATTCTTTATTAAACTCAATTAGTATAAATCTATACATTATGTTCAAATAGATAAGTTATTTAATGAATTAACAAGAATAAGCATTAATTTTCATAATATTAATTTTTACTAAAAAATATATTGATTTTTCTTAGGATACTTGAAGAGATTATCTATTTAAAAGACAATTATTAAACTTTACTCTTTTATAAATTCTTTCAATAGTAAAAATGGTAATTGAGCTATAATTTATAAAATTTAGGATTTCAACAACTTAAATAATATGAATTAAAATAATTTTTCAGTGCTTATTATTAATGGAATTAATACTAAATTTTAATATGATAATAAAAATAATTAGCAATTGTTTTTAAACGACAATTAACTATTAAAAATAAAATTTAAAATTTGCATTCAAATGTAAATATTTTATAAGAAACTGAAAATAATTTAAAAATAAATACAAAAATTTTTAAATATTGAAATAAAAATTAATATATAAAATAATTATGTAAAAATAATAATACCTAAATAAGAAATATGTAATAGTGAGTTATATGAAGATGAATTATTAACGTACATACTGGAGATTTTTAGCTTTAACGCACATTTACTTTTTCTTTATTTTGTATTCTTATAGAGTTTTTTGAGATTCGTGTTATTTGAAAATCTTTCGCCGATATACTTGCTCCAATAAAAAGTACAACTAATACAGTAAAGGTAAAAGAGAATTTAGAGAAGTTCATTATTGATTGAAAATGTTGTAATTGAATTGTCTATTGTAAAAATGACTATATGGATAAACCTGAAAAAAAAATCACTCCTTTTGAAGCCATTAAAAATTACATATATAACCAAAAAGAGTTTCACTATGCCAAGTTATATTGAAAAAATAGGCGGTAATAGAATAGGCATTAGTTTTGCGAAGACCTTTCAAATGAATAAGATAAATAATAGTTGAAAAATATTTTTAACACTGTGCTTTATATATATATAGTTTAAAGTCTAAAGTGAAATAAAGTTATAAAAAAAATTAATTATCAGTAGAAGACTAGCGCGATCAAAATATATGAATATTTTTTATTTTAAAAATAAGTAAAGATTTCAAATATAATTAATATTTAAGAAGAACATTTGCTTTAGTGGTCTCAAAGATTCATTATTTCCTTTACTTCCATTGACAGTTAAAAATTGATTAATAAAATCGTAAAGATTAAAAAAATATCACGATTTAAAATAATTTACAAAATAAAATGAGCTCTGGTTCAGAATTGAATAAGATATAAAATTAAAACTAATTAAAACTAATTAATATATTAATCTTATTAACGTTTTATTATCTACACTAATAAAAACTACCGAAAAACAAGTATATAATATTGATAAACTATATTATTGTATAATCTCTAATGTACAAAGTGTAAATTTTATTCATTAAATCATCATTTTTACTACAATTCATATCCGAAGTTCATTAATTATAAAAATATCTCTAAATTGAAAATGTTTTTAAATTTATATTTTTGTATAAAAATTATAATTTGTATCGTTATTATCAATTTGTAATATTAATGACGAAGTTTTTAAATGAGCTAATATTTACGCTATTTTATAATTATATATTGATATAATTGTTTTATTTTTTAAATATGTATTTCAATAATACTAAAACTATAATTGCTTTATTCATTTATTCGCTTTAAAATAAAATTATCAATTAAAACTTATTTGGATTTTAAATAAGTTTACATTAATGCATAATATTCAATAAAATTTTAAAATATAATTTAAAAATATAGAAATATAGAAATTTATTAGAAATAAAAAAGATAAAATAATTTACCAATCGTTATTTCATATACGATACGAAACTTATAAAAATTGCTGGTTCAATATATATATATATATATATATATATATATATATATATAATATAATAAGAACGCTATTGTAAAAAAAAATTCAATCAACTTCATATATTTTATTCAGAAAAAAGAATGAAATTACAATGAAAGTAGTTTTATTTTTAATATAAATCGATATAGTTGACTAATGAGACCTTAAATTAACCAAAAATTAATTATTTGAATGTCTTTGTATAAAATTGAAATTATAACACATTTAGTCTTATTCATCTAACATTAACTTTTTAATTAACGAATATTGCAGAGTTTTAAATTATTATTTATAACAAATGTTTTCTAATTATTTTCAATTTAATACATCTACAAAAATTGAATTATAAGCCTAAAGGAAACTAAGGCATATTATAAGAATATAAATACATATGATACATGTAATTAATTTTTTATTAATCATAACTGTGTGTAGTTCAAATAAACATAAATTCTCTATAAAGTATTTTCAACGTAGTTAATGGCTTATAAATTTCAGCTATACTGTCGATGATAAAATTATCACACACTCATAATTTCTCATAACTCTCATATTTAAACTATAATTATGTAGTCATATAAGTGCAAGATGTTAAATAATTACGATGCATATGCATATTAAATGTTATGCATAATATATAATAATCATTTATACTATTTTAATTCTTTTAGTTCAAGTAACATATAAAAAAAGTGATTTCATTAGTTTTAAATTAAATTTAAATGTATCTAAAGCCATTACCTATACTAATGTTCAATTTTTTTAATTTTTTTGTTTATTTTTTAATTATTAAAAGATTCAGACGTATAACTTAATATAAAAATAATTATTGTTCAATAAAACATTCGATAATCTATTTAAAATATATTAAAAGAAATATAAATATATTCTACGGTATAACAATGAAAATTTTTTAATTTTATGCAAACAAAGTTTTGTTCATAATCAAAATTGATTTTATTAATTTGATTCGTTACTTTAATATTGAATTGTAAATTTCTAATCGATTTACTGGTAATTGAATAAATTAATTTTAAAATGGAAAATATTTTATTATATTCTTAAATACTTTTTAAATAAAATTGAATTAATAGTGTAACAGAAGTAATAAATTAATTTTAAACTGTTATTTAAATTTTAAATAGTTAGTATAGTATACATTCTGAGGAGTTTTGAAAAGCTCCAGATTTGAATGAGACATTTTTTGCATTTTTCGAAAACACATGTAACAAAAAATACCATGATAGATTGACAAATGCATTTTTTTAAACGAATTTTATCTATTAAATAAGTATTATTCAAATCTCAAATACGTCATTTTCTCCTGTTTTTCCTATGTTTGCAAAAATCCATACCTATCTTCTAAAAGTCTGCAATATAAATAACTCTACGTGAAACTAATTTCGTTCTAGGTTCTTATTATAATAATACTAATATTAATTAATGTTAAATAATTTTCCTTTTATAATCATGCTTGTATAGGATGCAAATTATTCTTTATGTTAATTTGGAATTATAAAACAAAAATAAATTTATTTATCATACACTTTACTAAATATCCCAATCTACAATAAAACTTTAATTAACATATTGCATTAACGTTATTTGATCCTTTAATTTATAAACAATTTGAATCCATTTGTTCTATAAATCTAATGATAAAAATATAAATGATTGAAAATTACAAGCTTTTTTTCTAAATTATTTTAAATTCAAATTAAATTAAAAATATTTTAGAGACATAGTTTTTTTTCTTTTCGCTGATCGTAAATCAATTTATTTATAATGAAACTATAGGTAAAAATATATTTTTAATTCATAATTAACGAACTAATTTGTTTATTTATATTTCCATTCATTGTTAATATGATTTAACATTATTTTTATAATATATAATTATTATTTTAATAGGTTGCACATAAATTGATATATATGATTAAAATTGTAATTATAGAAAATTTAGCAAAGTAATAAATTTTGTAAAAATTTAAAAAAATATTCAACCGGTTATAACGAAATGGTTGTGTAAATAATTTACACATTTTAGTTAAGACATTTGAATTTTAAAGTTATCTTATTTTTATAAAAAGTATATTGAATATAGATTATTAGAGCTTTCAATATAATTGTTACAATACTGTCGCCACTTCAATTGTATCTAATGATAATATTTATCCATTATAATAAGCATTAGCTGTTTTAAAATTAATTTTTGGAATCTTACATATATGGCATATTAAGTATGAGAATAAGAAAAGTGTTTGGCAAATAATATTAAATCTACTAATAAAATCATCAAACCAAATTCATCAGGCTTCTCTCGCACATATGCGCGAAACGATACGTTACATAATGATGTGAATAATTCAAGTACGAATGAATTATTCATTTAATTAAATGATAATTATTACAAAAATTTGGTCTTTTATTTTCAAATTTCTATCAATTGTGCTGTATTGAAATAGCAAATTTTAAACACTGATAAACAGAGTAAAATGGCAATACATTAAATTCTTATAGTCAATCGGTGATAAATAGCAGGATAAGACAAGATAAGCTATCATTATTTGAAATACAAATGAAAATAATTCATAAACAGTAAGAATTTTTTTTATGAATTGGTTAAAAAAAGTTGTTTATTCATCAACGGATAAGTCAGAAGTTATCACAATCAGGAGTCTGGATTATGCATAAGTAGAGCAGGAGTGGGCGGGGCTCTGTATCAGTCTATACAGCCCTGAGTAAAAGATGCACGCTTGCACTTCAATGAGAACGACGAAAAATAGTTTGTGGTAGGACTGCGGAAGGGGAATGGCGAGGTTGAGGGTGTAGCAGAGATGTTAACGAGATGGAGTATTTAGTGGGCGGGGGGAGGGGTAAGTTGCTTACCCATATTATTGCCAGCCACAAAGATGGATCACTACTTCAACTGTTGTCGCTGCTGTTGATTTGACTCCGGTTTTGTAAACTACATTTTTGAGAGTGGGGTGGGTTGAGTATGAAAACACGCCACAAGATCGCGTATTCGTTTAACGCGTTGCTTCATTGCTTGCCGATCATCAGATCGTGAATAGTAAGCCGTAGTAACTTGTGAATGTCGTGATCAGTTTCTATTTCAAGTTGCCTCGGACTATGTGTTTACTGATCAAGCAACGGAAAGTCATTTTTGCACGATTAAGAATTAACGTATGATGGTTGACGCTTGCTTGTCTCATTAAATGTCTATTATACTTAAGAACTGAAGTTGAGATTCTACATTACAACATTAAAATCACTGAACCAATCTAAGTGGTAGGAAAGTATCTGTGCTGTGTTCTTGCTATATCTTTCTCTTTGCTTCTTCCTATGTTCATAGCCTCATCTGTATCTGCTTGCGAGTATTATATTTTGTGTATGAATATTGGCTAACGTGATTGCGCCTGAGGCCGCACAAGGGTGACTCAAATTTGAAGGTCTTGAGATTTGCATCAGCTGTTCTTTCTTTCGATTCTGGTCGTGCTAAAGTACCTTTTATGAAATATTATTTTCCACGCCGATAAGAATAATTAGCTGCAAGATTATAATTTAAATTATTTTCAATAATACTTTATTTTACACCATTTTTATAAATTCCAATAAAATATCTTATTTCTACTCGTTATTGTAAATATCTTTTAAACAAAAATTAACACAAACCTTTCCAATTTTTCTTCGAACTTTTTCTTGTAATTGTAATACATTTGTTATGTTGTTGCTTTAAAGTAAAATTTAGTTTAAAGATATGTAAAAATTAAAGTTTCTAAAATTTTATGTGTAGTTCTCTATATTTATATTATGTTTGCGCGCGCGGGTATATATACACGCATATGTATCTATGTGTATGCTAACTCACACGTATAATCCTGCGTAAACAAATTGCATATGTTAATAATTATATTCAAATAATATAGAAATAAAATAGAAATAAGTATAATAGCAGAGAATTACTTATTTAATAATATATAAAGACAAATTTTTATTGTCATATTTTCAAACGCAATTTGTTTATCATATCCTATATAGTGTAAGTGGTGCATAATTTATATCATTCATTCTTATTGACAAACAAGTGCGATCATAGGTCAATTCATCGTATTTAACGTTAGTAATTAATTTACAAGGGTGCGAACTTTCATGCTTTAATAAATTTTGTTTATACTTTCAAAATGTATAATGCATAAAATTGCTTTTAGAAAAGGTAGGTAATAAAATATTTGATAAGTTTAATCAAATAAATTTTTAATTTAAAAAATTTCTGTATATAAATATAAAACTTTTGTTGTGCAATATCAATGAAGTATTAACAGTGTGTTAACAAAAACTATAATGAAAAAAATATGTAGCATTTTGCAGATATTAAATTGTTTTAATACAATTTCACTTATATCCAGTTATATCATTTTCAAGTTTAATTATATCCTTTAATTTGTTATAATATTTATTAAATAATAAAATTTAAACAAATTATGAGTTCTTGCTTAGTTTAGCTTAATTAATGCAATAGTTTTTTCCTACTCGACAATCGGAAATATTAATTTCAAAAATTCTGTCGGAAAACTTTGTTTAATTTAATTTTCAAACTTTTTAAAAGATGTTATTTATAACTTCAAGTTTTTTTGTTACATTTAACAAAAATTTTTAAAATTCATAAGAATATTAGTTTTCTATTATATGAAATATATATTACATTAAATTTTAAAAATTGTCGATAATGGAATTGTTTTTATTATAAATTACAAATTTTACTAATAAAAAAATTAATAAATCAATATAGATCATAATTTTTTTCATTTATTTAATATGTCGTTCTTTGAAGAAGGGTTAGACCTTATGAGCAATATAATTCTTAAAATACACATAACTTTAATTATTATTTAAAGCATAAAATTATTTTATAATTAATTGTAATGTTTTACTAAAATATATTTAACATTCTTGTACATTACATTAATGTCAGGTAAAACTTTACATTAGATTCTAATATTTATTATATAAATAAATTTAATTATGTATTATAAAGAAATATGTCTAATGACATACTTTTCTTGATTTAATGTAAAATAAATATTAGTGAACTATAAAATATTATTATTATAATCCTAAATTTAAATTACTTTTTATATTCAAAAATAAAAAGTAAAATAGTAGTAAAATAGTAGTAAAATTCAAAATTAAAAAAAATTTTAATATTTAAAAAAAAATTACTTTACTTAAAAAATATTTATATAAATAATAAATCCCTAATAAAAATATTATTCAATAACTATGTAAAAACTTCTAAAAATTTATTTGTTATTATTAATAACAAAAAATCATACAATCATAATAATTTAACTTTTGAAAAACATCATACTAGCAAATTTATCCATTAAGTTTTCAACTTAGAAATATCATGAGTTTAATTAAATATTTATTAATTTAATCATTTTTAAAAATTATTTTTATAATGTTTTTGAAATTTATATATTATTGAGTAATTAAATCGAGATATAAAATTAGTCGATTAAATAAACAAAAATTATAAGCAATTGAATATATGAAGTAGTTTCAATATTTAAAATTACTTAAAATAAATTCCTTAATCTTGTTAAAAAAAAGCAGTATTCAGAAAGTTATCCATAGTTAATTTAATGAAACGAATAATCAATCCTATAATTATTCAATCCGCTAAAACTCATTTCAATTAATAACATTTTTCGACCATACACCTTTAAAATTAATGCCATGAAATATTTTTAGTATTTTACACAAATTGTACACTTTAATAAATGTTATGATATTGATAATTGAAAACTATAATTAATTTTTTTATAATCAATATTCAATATATTTTTAATAATAATAATGTATATAAATTGTAAAAACAATAAAATTTTTCATTGTTAAATAATTATTCTGTTCTGATAAATGTATAAACTACCTTAATATCTACAAAAGTTTAAAAATCGGACTATATTCATTACTCTTTTCAAATTTTTATTTAATTAAAATAATAACTTTAAAAATCCTTATTTATATTTAAAGTTAGTTACAAGTCATTCAATAAAAATTTAGAATATACTTGTTTTATAATATACTTAAATTTTAAATCTTTAAATAATTTGTCTCAAAGGTATGAGTTCAAAGTAATAATTAATATATGATTTTTAAATTTTATCTACTTATTTTTAATTATTAATCCTAAGGTATTTAAGTGCTCAAACTAAGAGTATGTATTTTTTTTATTGTCTAAAGTTTAACTATTGTTTTTATTTAAAATTCTAAGTATTATATAAGACAAAGGTAATACATACATGTATCATATATAAAATGAAAGAATGGATTATACGTGTATTTAGAGTTTCAAAATTGTAATTCTAAAATTAAAGTAAGGTTATATTTTATAAGATTATACATTATCGTGATAACATTTAATAAAAAAGCTATTTTTTCTATTAAATTTTTTATCGATTAAATGCCATGTAGAAATAATAATAATACTTGAAAAATGTTAGCAATTTTCTCCATACAACCTTGCTTTTATGACTTTTATTTCTTCTGTAGTGTTTGAAAAAATAGTAGTATAATACAAATAACTATTGAAGATACCTAAAAATATTATTTCCTATAATATCTTACATATTTTATTATATTATAATAAAACATAAATAATTTGGTCTTTTACTTGTTACTATCATAAGTTTTTTATATTTTTTAAAAACCCTATAATGATTTATAAAATTATTAACAATACGGATGATAAAAGTAATATATGTTTTATTTCATATAATTTACTAAATAAGAATATAATATCTGTATGAATTATTATTTTTAAATTATAATGAAAAGAAAACTTATTACATAAATCAGAAAAATCCTTTAATCCTGATAAATAATAGTTAGAATTGAATTTGAGATTTGTAATTGATTTAAAAAAATATATTAATCTAGAACATTAAACTAAACATTGTTTAGACGCATTTAAAAGTTTAGAATGTAACAAATCATTTATACTCAAAAATATTTATTAAATTTTCAACAAAGATACTTTTTACTTCATGTTAAATTTAATTTATTGAAACAATAACCAAGTATTAAAGTTAAATGATTTTTATCCTATATAAATTTTAAATATATTTCCTACCAATTTAATCAGTTAAGTAATAGTATATAATATAATTTAACAATCAGATTTATCGTTACATTAACAATTGGTTGGAAATTAAATTTTGTATTACCTTTTAAACTTAAAACAATCTAAATAATAAATTTAATTAAAAGTCTTATATTTGATTTTTAAATGATAAAAAAGAAATTAATAAAATTTAAAAATTCGACGTAAAGAATAATTGTGCCGTATATTGGGATTAAAATAATTTCTATATATTTGTTATAATTCTTTACGTATAAGTTATATTTATTTAAAGCCCATACGAAATAATATTAATAATATAATTATTATATTATATATTATAGAAAATTATATTAGTTATATATTAGATATATAATATATATTAAATATAATATTATATTTACGATTCTAATACATATTGATACAATAATTTTTATCTGCAGATATAATGCGTGTGAAGAACTGGATAGAGGTCACCCAAAGAATAAAAATTAATATTGAATATATTAAAATTATTATAAAAATACTTAAGAAATGAGATTATCAAATGAGTAAATGAGAAAACGTTAAATGAGTATAACAGTGTCTTTATTAATTCATTAAACAAAAAAATGACTGTGTCATACACTGCAGAAGTCGCTACATGCAGAGGCTTTGGCTGTTTTCTAAAACTATTATTGAGGTAAATATTATAAATTATTTAAATAATAAAAGCATAAAATTTTGGAATATTATAATTAAATATTTATATAATTAAGAAGTAATAGAATTATAAAAATATTCTGTAAGATATAAAATGTGACGTAAAAATACACAATAATTACATTTTTAAAAATAAAATGTTTAGATATTTTATAAACCCAAATGTAGTTAAATAAGCGTTATAAAATATTAAATTATAAATCCATATTTATATTAAAAGTGGGTAACAATTTCATTTATATGTAATTATATTTAAATACATTGTACATTGTATATATTGTAAAATAATAAAGTAATTCGTGTAGTTTAAATAACTATTATTCAATAGCTGTAGATTATATTATACACAACCTTTATTTAAATTTATAAATACTGAGTATAGAATATAAATATTTCTTAATATTTATTTAATATTTAGATTTCATAATAATAATAATTATTTTATATAAAAAATTAATCGCAAATCTATAATATCTCATTAATAGTATAATTTAATAGTGATTACATATTTATATATATAAGTAATCTACAGAACGATTTTATTAATACGATTACATAAAATAAAATATTTACTTATATATATATATATATATATATATATATATTATAAATTGCATTTATATATATAAAATTAAATTTTAAAAACAATTAATTATTTATTAATTTAAGCAGTCATCATATATTTATAAAAAATTATGATTGCTACAGTTTTAATTAATTTTAAATATTGTATCAAAAATAATACATTTTACAACAATATATTTTCAAATTAGTGATTGGTATAAATATCTGATATTCGTTTCCCGTATAGTTAATCACCTACAACCATTGTGAAATAACAATGTATTATGTACTATATAATTACATATATCAGTGGATATTTATTTGTTTAAATAATAACAGAGCATTATTATATTTACGTTATTGTACTATTAATTCTAAGGTAATACTATTAGAAATTAATAAGATGAAAGAGATTTAAAATGCTATGTAACTTTTAATTTATAACCAATTTATACGTAGTAAGCATAAATATTAATTTTGTAACGTAATGTATCGCTAAAATATTTAACATTATTAATGTTTCATTACGTTATTACTCAATCACGCAATTAATTACATAAGTGTAATAGTAGCTAATAATCATTCATTTTCAATAAAAGTATATAGAAAAATAGGAAATTAAAATTTTTATTAAAGTACTAAATGAATGCGGAAGCAACTTTCACGGAAACTAAACAAATTTAAAAAACAGATTTATATGAATCTACAAAAAATAACGAAAATTTTAACAAAATATATGTTTACAGTTTATAATTGATTATAATTTTAAAGAAAAAACGCAATATTAATATAAATTATATCATATAGATAATCTTAATATTTTGAAAATTTAGAAAAATATGGATAAATTTTTTTCCGCATATTTTTAAAGACTTTTGATTTTGACATAATCTTAGATATGGACATCTGAAAATAATACAGTAAGATTTGAATTAATTATATTTAAACTATAATTGGAATAAAGTAGATAGATAACGAATTTATACTGCACTATTTAAATATAAACATTTTAAATGTAATAATGTATTTTATTGTTTTATTATATTCTTGTATTGATTTATTCTATTGTTATTCTAATTAAATCATACGATGGAAAGAATACAAAAAATATTTATTGAACCAAATAGTGTGGAGATTATTTAATAATTTTGATTTTTTACTATTATAAAGAAGTGTATCATCAGACATATTCTTCATAATATTTCATGTATATTTAAAACAAATAATAAAGTATCACAGTACAATACGATAAATAAATATATCGTAAGACGAATATTAAAATTTGCTAATGAAATTTCCTCAACCAAACTATCGCGAACCCATACATTACCTACATTTAACTCTACACTTGATTTTAACAATAATACATGCCTTAAACCATAATTTTTTATTCGAGATTTATTCTTTTTCCAATAAAATGATTATGATAATTTATTCTTAATTTATGCAATTTAATATAATTTTAAAAGACTGAAATCTTTAATACTAAATTGAATGTAAAAAATAAATACTAACTGAATACTTTCATACTAAATCTTTAATATAATCAACCAAAGATACAATTCAATTTCGTTACATAGCTAGATTAATTTACATCTCAATTGTTTAAACAAAAAAATTAAACATACAGGTATGCATAAAGGATAAAGGTCAAATAAACTAAACGGTCATACTTAAATATTACTTACAATAGTTGCCTTTTATGTTTGTTGTTTTAAAATATTAAAATTAATTATTGTTAGCGTTGAACTTTTTTTTAACAAATTTAAATGATTTAAGATACTATATTTAGAATGACTATAAATATAGTACTTTATCGTCTTTTATCAAAAGTCGTAAAAAGAATGTGCTTGAACAATGAAAACAAATTAATCTCAAAATAAAAAAGATAAAATTATTAATATTTAATAATTGATTTAACAAAGACAACTTAAAACAACAAGTTTACTTTCATTATAGAAAAAAGGTGCTCAATAACCAATTGCAAACTATTCAGTCCAAATAAGATAATGTTCCGTTCCATTAATTTCGTTAAAATAATATTTTTTAGAAAGTAATTTAAAAATCTAAATTTCATGCTATAGTTAATAAACTAAACAAAGTATAAACATTTCACTTTATTTTATAGAAATAAAATATTTAATCAATGGATTAAAAAAAATGATTGATTGCAAGTATTAGTGATTTTGAAATGGTTTTATTATTTTTTACTTCAAATAATTAACTATTTCATAAATTTGATGTAAATATCGATTTATCGGAAACTATTCTAAATGTTATATTAATTAAAGAATAAGGATATTGCCAATAATTTCTAATTTATATACAAAAAATATCAATTATTGTATTTACACAAGCATTGGTTTAAACTTCTTAACTTTAAATTTTTGAAGAACTTATTTGCCATAGTAAAATATAATACATGTATGTGTACATATACTTAATTATATATATAAGAAGATAGTAATAGTAGAAACACGTGTATTAGATATATTTACATGTATACATGTAGTTGTAAAATAATATGAAATAATGTGATTTGATTTAACATATAATTTTTCATAAAATTACTTGTTTTTATATTTATTACCTTTTGTACTTTATTGGCAGTAATTACAAGAAATTAATTTGGAATTTGTTTCTTGTAAACGAAGTATATTTTTACCTATTATATTGTACAAATTTTTTAAATTTTTAACATAAATTTATGTGATTCAATAGATCTAATAATGCATTGTTAATATATTTGTAGTTATTATAATCATATTGATTATACTATTTTTTTTTATATGAATAAGTGTAAAGAAAAATGTTTAAAAATTTTGGAATACTGATTTTGTAAATCCATTACATTATATAATTATTACAATTAGATTCCGTAAATTATTATAATATAACTTAGTATGTATAAAAAGCTCACCTTTCAAGTTTTTTAAATGAAAGAAAGGTAATATTTTAAAAATAAAAGGAAGTAAAAACATTTTTAATACGAATGCTTTAATTTGTTTGATAAGAAACGAAAATTTAATGTTTATTTCAGATGGAAAGCAAGTGTTTATAAATTAATATGGATAGATATGTTACTCTTTCTTACGATTTATTACTCACTATCAGGAATATATCGTTTGGTTCTCGATGAGGAACAAAAAAGAATTTTTGAAAAAGTTGTAGAATTTTGTCGAAGACACACATCTTCAAGTCCTCTTTCTTTTGTATTAGGTTTTTATGTAACAATAGTAATGAATAGATGGTGGAATCAATATATAATGATTCCATGGCCAGATTCTATAGCTGTTTTTGTTTCTGCCACGATTCACGGAAACGATGAACGAGGAAGACTTATGCGACGAACCATTGTTAGGTACGTATATTTTACCTTAAAAATTTTGTTTACTTATATTACATTTATTTTTTAAACCAATGATTAAATTAAATTATCGATTATTTATATTTAATATTAAGAATCATAAAAAGAGATAATGATAGAAAATGTAAAAATTAAGTATTATTAATTTTAGTTATTCATTCAAGCATGTTTTTCAAGCATGTAATAAACAATTTTTTTAATTTATAAAAGAAAAGAGTTCAAAGTAATATAATATAACGACAAATTACGATAGTTAAACTTACGTTTTATAAAAGTAGCTGGAAGACCAATGAGTTATTATACATTGTAATAGCCGGATGCTGAAGGATATTTCTTGATGCCTTGCTTAAAATGAAGGCGGGTTCGGTTAAAAAACCGGTGCGTGTGCAGTTAAAAAAATTTCAGTTAAAATTAATTTTATTATGAAACAATATAGAATACTTTATGAAAAAATCAACTATTAGAAAATAATAAAGGTCATAAGTATTGCAGATTGAGTCTTATTTGAGGAACTAAGGGGTTTTGGGTGCACCACGGTGTATTATATATATATATATATAATATATATATATAATATAACGGAACTATATGGTACAGACTAGCTATATGAATATATTATTGTATCATTAGATATAGTTGAAGCAAAGAGAAATTGGAGACCTTCCATACGGAGACTAATATTAGATACCAATACTGAAGGACTGCGCAATTGTCCTGTAGTCTTTGAGGTTGTCATTTGTTATGAAAAATTATTGAAAATAAAACACACATTCTTTATCAATAATAAATTCTTTAAAAAAGGCAGTAATTCAAAGAGAAGTTTCAAGTTTAAGATTTTATTACATTAATACATTAGGAAAAATGAATAAAATATAAATATGTATTTTATTTATAAATTCAATCAAAATAATGAAACATTATATAAATGAAAGAGAGTGAGAGAGAGAGAGAGAGAGAGAGAGAGAGAAAGGTGAAAAAGGCTGATCTTCAAAGCAACATACATATTTCACATGCGCTGTCGCATGCTAATGTGCCTACATGTACATACACCCGTGTATACGTACGTGAATACTTACAAACAAACAGTATATTTACGTAAACTTATGTATAAAATTTTAGTTACAAATATTCTTGAAATTGCAATAATTGTGAATAAAATAAAACAATATCTATATTTGAATATTAATTGCAATAATTTATTTTTAATTTAAATCTATAAGTCGATAAAATTAGTTAACAAAAAAGAAATATAACATTGCAAATTAATTGGATTAAAAATATATTAAAAAAAAATGTATATACAGAAAAATATTAATTATCAACTACCAGTTAAGTATATGAAATTATTAACTGAAATAATCTTATTATTAATTCATTTCACAGATTTTTTTGTTTTTGTTTTGGTGTTATGCCCTCATAATTTATATTTGTAACTGATTTTTTAAAATTCAATTATAAATAAATATGTAATACATGATTTACATAAATAAAATTTTTAAGAAATTAAATAATTATCATAGTTTTGTAAAATCACGTAAAAATATATAATATATGATTATAATTGATTTAGGTACGTTTGTGTGTGCCTCACTTTGGTTTTGGCTAATGTATCGCCTCGCGTAAAAAAACGTTTTCCAACGTTGGAGCATTACGTAGATGCAGGTTTGTTGCTGGAAAATGAATTAGCTATTTTTCATAGTTTGAACAGTAAATTTCCAAAGCCAAGTAAACATTGGTTACCAATAGTCTGGGCATCAAGTATTGTAACGCGAGCACGAAAAGAAGGTCGGATACGCGACGATTTTGCCGTTAAAACGTTAATAGATGAACTCAACAAGTTTCGGGGATCATGCGGTGGCCTTGTACATTACGATACAATTAGCATACCTCTCGTGTATACACAAGTAGTTACTATTGCTGTTTATACCTACTTTCTCACCAATGTTATTGGACAACAGTGGATATTGGAAGAATCCAAAACCGTTGATATTTATTTTCCAGTGTTTACGACACTCGAAATGTTTTTTTATATGGGTTGGCTCAAAGTTGCTGAGACACTTATTAACCCTTTTGGCGAAGATGATGATGATTTTGAAGTCAATTGGATCGTTGATCGAAATCTTCAGGTTACTTAAAATTTATATACATAATAAATTAAATAAAATATATTTATTTAATCGTAAGACAAGAAAATTGTTTTATAGTATTAATTTCTTCATTATTTTTATTTAATAGGTGAGTTATCTCATTGTCGACGAAATGCATCATGAACATCCGGAACTAATAAGAGATCAATATTGGGATGAAGTATTTCCAACAGAATTACCTTACACAGCAGCGGCTCAACCTTTCAGAGAAGAGCATCCGGAACCATCCACTGCTGGTATTCAACTTTCGGCTGCACAACAAGAATTACAGCCTTCATCTATAAGAATTGACGAAATAGAAAAAGAATATCAGCAAAAATATCAAAATGACATGAATGATGATGCGATTTCGGGAATTCATTTTGTTGCAAATGGCGGTAAAATATCAAGGTATGCAACGGTATTATAAATGCATTTGTATGCACGAGCATATTTACTTAAATTTTACATTATTTACAATATTATTCTAAATAATTTAATTATTTAATTTTTAATTAATTAATTTTCAAAGAAAATTTATATTACAAATTACATTTTTTTTTCATTTAAATTTTGAATAGTTTTTTAAGTCATCAATTATAATTAATATTCAAGAATTGGATGTTTTTTAAAACTGAATATTTTTGTACAATATTGTATTAATTTATTCAAAATAAAAGTAAATAAATTTATAAAAATGTTAAAATCTATTTGTAATTTATTAAGAAAGAATGTTGTAATATTATATGGGTAAAAATAATAAAAAATTAAATAACTAAGGAACTACTGTTAAATATTTTAGATAAATGTAAAGTATTGAAAATTTCCAAAAAATTTTCGAAAAACCATTGGAATTATTATAACTTAATCATTACATATTAATGTATAATTAAAAAATATATTTTGTAATAACAAAATTATGCAATTAAATATAAAACGTTTGCAATCTAATTTTCATTTAAAGTTCTCTGTGGTCTAATTCACTTACACTAGATTGTATTTTGAAGTAGTTGCTCATTGATGATATATACCGTTTAGAATTACATCTTAAACACAAAACTTTAAATAATTAAAAGATTAATAATACATTTTTTTTAATTTATAATCGAATAGAATATAAAATATGACCATTTTCTTCAATAAATTTGTTATAAATCAAGCTTAATAGTCTTAACACTAATCATTAGATTTAGTTATATATTAAATAAAAACTTTATGTAGAATGTCATACTCAGAACTTTATTTTAATTATCATATTACGGGCGTAAAAGTTAGTGTTTATTAGTAAATAGTAAAAATACTATTTATTAATTCTTGAATTAAGTGTTTTATTGAAAAATGGAAATTTACTGCTTATCTTAAATATCTAGCATTTATAAATTATTTAATAATTATTTGTACTATTTTATTTATTAAATTCCATACTATTTAAATAGGAGTGGAAGTCGAGTAAGTAATCGTGATAGGAATATGAGTAGTGGTTCAACTCCAAGTAATATTGGAGGTTCACTTACAAGAATAAATAGTGTGACTAATGTACTTAAAAGAATATTCAGCAAAGAAGACAGGCCAGATGGAAGTGGTTCAAAAACACCTGGAAGACTTCCCAATTCGACTTCGGCTACATCTTTAAAAGCTCCAGGTTTGTCTTTAATATTTTAAGTTTTTATCTTCAAAAAGTATTTAACAGTTTATAAAATCTTTCTCCGCTTACTTTTTTTTAAATCCTCATTATCTTTCATACAAATCATTTACTTTTGTTTTTAATATATACTAGTATATATATATATATATATATATATATATATATATATATTTATATAATATAATTTATACATATATATATATATAATATATATTTAGTTTTCAAATAAGTGCTGTTTATTTAAACTTAAAAATCATTAATACATACTTTTAAATTATAATTTGCTAAATTTAACAATTTTTTATGATAAATGGAAATTTTCAATGAAATATTTTTAGAATAAAGTAATATCTTATTATTTCCTTTTTATGTTATAATATCAAAATAATTGAATGAATATTATCAATTATACGAATCAATTATATGAATATTATCAATTAGTAACTCATAAGATTATTTCACTTCAAGGAGGAGTTGGTTCTACGAGAATAGACGTAATTGAAGAAGTAGACGAGCAAATGACAATGACATCGATGCGACCAGAAAGCCGTCCACATATACAAAATATATTTCCTCAGGGGCCACCACCCGCAAGTGCTCCGGTTGATGTTCCTGGATCAGTGTCTACGACACACAATGGTGATATTTTTTCTACTAGTGCTCCAATACATGGTTTAAGCGTTTCAATAGATAATGTTGGTATCTCACCAAATGCTGCTTCAGTACGATATGGTACAAGGTACGTTATAATACAATATATTGATATTTTATCAATATAAAATATAAATTAGAACTAGCAATGACAAAAGTTTGGATAGCTTAATTTCATGAGATAATGACTTGTATAAAACAAGTATTATGCGAATACAAGATTAGTAAATGCTGATGCTATGCACATACGAATAGACTCACAATAAATTCCATGCTACAAATTTTAATTTATTTTAAAATCTAATAATATAGAATTTATTATATAGAAGAATTATAACGAATATTATAAAGAAGAATTATAATATAGAAGAATAATTTTTTTTATACAGCTTACATATAATATTGCTAAGTAAAAATACATTTATATTTAAACAATTGCTAAGATAAACAATTAAATACTTATAATAGTGACCGTTAAAATACTAATAATTTATACCTATCAATAAGAATATGATATTAATAAAACTAGGAGTTTACATCACAATAATAATTAGATAATAATAAATATTTAAATAAACATTTTTGCTTTCAAGAAACTTTTAATAATAAAATGTAATTTCTTTATAAAATATTAGAATTAAAAATTAGAAAAATGATGTTTCGTATGATTAAACTGAACTAAATTTATTTTATAATTCTTTATATTGATAAAATAATTGTTAAATTTTGTATTATTCATTCATTTATATGCTAATTAATTAATTAATTTATAACCAAGAGATAAATATTTAATTTCGTAATTACTTTTTTATAACATTTTTATTCATTATTTCCATATTTACTTATATTTGATAATATGATACATGAAATAAATGCAAATTATTATGCAATACAATTGTGAAATATTACAGAACGCAGTTGTCGGTTCCTTTAGAGCACAATAGTAGAAGTGTTGATTCTACTGCCTTCACTAGAGATACTAATGAAAGTACGCGTAGTTCATCCTCAAATGGCAGTTTAGACGACGAATTTACGAAATTAAAATATGAAAGAGAGAAGAAAAGAAAAGAAAAGGCTTTACAAAAACTTAGCAGAAGTATAAGTAATCGGGTAACTACAGATTCATCTTCACTTGACATGAATGACACGGAGATGCTTCTAAGTGAATTAGCAAGTACTTCTCGTCGTTATTTACATCCATCAGACTGCGAGGAAAAAGAACAGCAACCTAATTCCAATTAATTATTTATCTTCGCTACGTAATGGTTAATTATTAATCAATTCTTATTTCTGCTAATTCTCTTATTTCTTTCAATTACAGTAAAAATTTCTATATTATTCTATCATTATAAGCTTTTATGAAGTTTAAACACTTTTGGGTTTGAATTTAACAATTTGCCATACAAAATTGCTTAGCACTCACAATTTATTAATAGCTATATTTCTAAATAAAATACGTACAGAATATTAATAATTTATTGTACATATACAAAAACAGTATTTACAAATATAATTAAAATAACGAATTATAAAACTTTTGTGATTATATGAAATAACAATGCACAAGTATTATATTTTTATAGAAAAATGTTGTAAAATTGATAAAATTTACTTATTCAAAATATAGTTCTTCGAAAATTTATATAATAATTTAGAGTTTAAATTTGAAATTTAGTAGTTAATACATTAAAAAATAAATTAAATATTTATTATTGTATTATATTAACTATTATAAATTATTTTTATAAATTAAAATTTTTTATACCAATTTATATAAAATTAATTAAACAAAATTAGAATATTTAATGTAATAATAATTAAATATTATTTTCTATTTATTTTGTTTATCTGAGTTTTTTTTATAAATTACAGTTATTCTTAATATTTTATTCAAATTAATAAAATACATTTTAATTGTTTATACATATTTATCAATATTGAATAAATTAAATTTGAATTGAATATTGAAGGAATATTAGATAAATGAATAATAATTTAATATATTTTCAAAATTAAAATTTTTAGTTAAATGACATGAAATTGAATTAATTTTCCTTGTTTTCTTAATTACATGTCATTTATTACTAAAGTAATCTTTCGTATTATATTGTAGTAATATTTGTGTATTGCTATAAATATTTAGACAGATAATTATAAAATTATTTTAAATTTATATAAAGATAAAATTTATATAAGCATATTTAAATAAAACTATATGTAAAGAGGTATGTAAATGAAAATGATCAAGATTATAATATTTAAAGGTTGAAAAATTTTTATCTACATTTAAATTTTGTTCGTTATAAGTTTTTTTATCAAACATAATTGTCTATGATTTTTTTGTATGAATAAAATTAATGAAAATATTTTATTTATCATTGACAATAACGGAATATATTATTCTTAAGTATAATATATGATTTATAATTATATCGATTATTGTAATTCATGGTTTTCATATGAATTAAATTTTCGATTATTTATTTTCGAAGAACCTTGTGAAGTGTAACATTAAGATTCAAAAAAAGTTATTCTTTAAATTCTACAGCATCATAATATTATACTATCCTTAAATACTATAAAACAAATTGAATAGCTTAAATGATCAAATCAATTGTACAATATTAAAAAAATTTATTTAATAATATTCATAATTAACTAGTAAAGTGTTAAAGAGCAAATTTATTCAATTATGACGTTATCTTAATAGTTTTTAGTGTAATTAAATATATAAGTTCTAAGTGTTTTAAATAAATGCCTTACTAGAATTAAGACTGTGATGTAATGAATATATATTAAGAATTTTAAATAAATTATTGTTACAAAAAATATTTTTATTTATTATAGACAATAATAAAAAAAAAAACAAAAATTTATTTAAATATTCATCAATTAAAATATTTTATGTATAATGAATATATATGTATTTCCAATATTTTTGATTAAGAAAATATTAAGTATAGCTTAATTTAATCGAATAGAAATATTTTTTAAATGATAAAATTTTTATGCATGTAAATTATAATTGTTAAATTAATAAAGGATATTAATATTATTAAAAATTGATAAAATCTAAAAAATCTGTTATATATAAAAGTAATATTCAAAATATAATTGATATTTTGATAAATTTATAAGTTCAATTTGTAATTTTATATTGTATAAAATATAAAATTATTTAAATAATAAATCTTAAACTCTGTACTTAATTTGTTTTAATGTCAAGATCTATTTTATGTCATTTATTAAATTTACGTTTTTTTATATTAAAATTGATATTTTAGAATTTTATTAAGTTAAAATATTTTGAATATATATAATTGAAAACAAATGCTTTGTCACTAAAGTTATAAAAAACTATTTCCAATCAAATCATATTATGGAAATATAATGTATATAATTATTGTTTATAATTACAGCATAAAATGATGACTTAGTATTGTATATACGATTTTATTATTATTTAAAACATTCTTTGTAATCATGCTTAAACATAACATATATTTTAAAAATTAAGTTATGACTTATTTAAAAATGCCAAACTATAATATAATAAAAAACATTCCAGCAAAAATATGTGAACTCTTCTTATAGAATTATTATTAAATATATTAATAATTTACAGATTATTTTAATAATTTATTTATAACCAATTCTCTTGTGAATATTCACCATGTAAACTTTCTGTGATATGTCTGATGATTATCCAAACCACTTTATTATTATAGTCATCCTTCATTTGGTCTGCTATTTAATTTATATGTTTAATGCATATTTGCTACATGTACATTCGCAATACAAAAAACTATACTTCAATATTTCAATAGTTTCAAGTTTAATGATAAAAAAATTATTTAAAAAATTGAACGTGTATCCTATGTTAAAATTAGTTTACATATCAGTTTAAATATCAAGCTTATTAACTCATGTGTCCAAACACATATATATATATATATATATATATATATCATTAATTTATTTAATGATCAATTGAATAAAATAAAGAAATATATATTATACATCTCATTATAAATTTTATTATTATTTAATCCAGGCTTTTAACATATTATTGAATAAATAATAACAATTACAAATAGTAAAAATTTCTTAACTCAATAATAAATTATATCAACCAATTTTTAAAATTTCAACAAAGCGATCTTTGTTAGCAAAATCTTTATGAACATATTCTAATTTCAATTTATTTACATAATTTTGCTTAATAAAGAATTCAATTCTTTCAGGATGATTAAAGTCAACTTCTAAAATAAGGAATCCACCTATTTTAAGTGCTTCAGATGCATATTTAAGAATTGATAAAATCAATTTTAATCCATCATGTCCACCATCTAAAGCTTTTACATCTTCATATCTAAAAGTATACATATAATATTTTATTATAGAATATGTCACACAATATCTTTTTAATATGAATTTAGTTACTTACAACTTGATTTCTGGTTGAAGTTTAAATACTGTCTCAGTTGGTATATAAGGAGGATTACTTACAATAATTTCAAATTTATCATTATAAAAATTGATAGAATCTTTAAAAAAATTTTTTTTTTTTTCTATTAAACCATCATTTTTTAAAATTGCATTGAAAAGAATAAGTCGATCTTGAAGTTGCAGATCTTGGGCATTACGCATAGTTAACTCGCAGGCATGTGAATTTGCGTCAATTGCAGTAATATTTATCTAAAAAAGCATACTAATATATTAATCAAAATATAATTTTGTTATTTTAAGATTATTTTATGCACATTCTTATGGGAGTGTAAAAGTGAAAGACAAATAGCACCGGATCCACAACCAATTTCTAAAATATTGCATTTATCATTTTTGAATGAAACAATCCTCTTTAATGAAATATCAACAATTATTTCAGTTTCCGGACGTGGAATAAAAATAGGAGGTTCTAGTTTTAATGTGATATGTCTAAAATCCCATTCGCCAATAATATACTGCACTGGCATTCTGAAATATTTTGTAGTTAAATATTTAATAAATTACTTATCTGAAAATATATATAGAGATAAACCTTGATAATCTACATTGACATAGCCCCTCCAGTTTTTGCAACTGCTCTCTATTAAGTTTCATTGTGCTTATATTGGACAAGTCCGTTAGCTAAATAATAATATACAAGCTTAAATTAACGATAAATTTGTCAACAATTAAGCAATTATAAGATACATACTTAAAATGTACAAAAATAAAAAAAATTTTTAAATATATAAATTTCTCTAAATAATTTTTAAATTAAATTAAATATTAGGTAATATAAAATAATTAAGCTTAAATATATTAAAAAAAAAAATAAAAAAAAACAAGCTTATATAATTTTGTTTAGTCTTGATGCAACATATCCTTTTTTATTTTATTCAATTTATAAACAATAATTTTCATATTATCTACTCTTAGTAGATTTTTTGTAATTATTATTTCATATTTCTTTCACCGAATAAAAAACAAATGAAAACTTGTTTAACAAAAATTGTTAAAAAATATTAAAATTATTCAACAGTTTACACTTCTTTTTGTAGATATTTATTAAATTATTTTTAATGTAAAAAGCCTTTGAGAATCTTTAAATAGTTTCAATTACTTTAATAATACTAGGTTACTAATATTCAAAATAAATTTTTCAGTAATTGTAATTATAAAAGAAAATATTGATGAACTGTATATTACATTTATATTTTTCTATTGATAAAATAATATAAATATATATATATATATTATTGTGAATTATAATTCATTAATGTAAATTGTAAATTAAAAATAAAATTGTTTACCCTTGAAATACCTAATACATGAGCAATAATATGTTCGATAGATTTTTTTGGCTCAATAATTTTCTCCTTTTCAAATATTTGATGCCAGTATTTAATCATATTAATGATTGTTACATTTTCTTTTTCATATTTTTTATTATTATTACTATAAATACGCATAAATGCTAAGGGTATTCTAAATGGTATATCTTGAAAAAAAAAACATATTTTTGATGATTTTATGATAGACGTAGATGTTAATAAATATGAAGAATGTCTCGATACATATTTAAGCCAATGCCTCAACATTTTTCACTTATTTAATGATTATATTATTATTTCACGTTCATATTTTTAGTTCACGCTTATAATATGGCTTTCAAGTACTTTTTCATGTCACATAATTGTCGAATTTCATCAAATTTCATTGCTCTAAAAATATTATAAGCATGTACGTATTACAATTTATTTATAACTGACACTTATAAAAAGTTTCATAAAAAATTTCTAATAACAATGTAAAGTCAGAGATAGTAAACGTAAGTATTAGCCCTTTTACAGATATGTAGAATGAAAGTTTCAATTTTATTAATTCTTTTAAATGTTTGCGATTGTAATATGGTGTTTTCGAAATTTTCCAAACGTATATTGTTTAAAGAAAAAAATTATAAAATATTTATGTCATACATTGACAATAATGAGTTTTAATTTATTAATATATATAATTCAGATTTTATATTTAGTACACTTTTGAGAGCCAGCGAGGTTAGACATCAAATACGCATGTCTCAAATAGGTGAATTTTCTATTTTCTCCAGGATATTATCAGATCAACCTCAGTTTCCGAAATTTCAAATTAAAAAAATATATAAGTTAATACACGTCTAATTTCATTCCTAGTTTTTCTAAAATAATAAATCATACGTATTTTACTCAACAATATTTAAAAGATTGTATGTATGTAAAATATTGACGATATTAATATTTTTCTTTTTAAAATCTGTTCCGATTGATTTTAATTACGCCCTTACTAGAGCTTATTTAAAGCAATTATTTATGAATAAATAATAGTCATTTTAAAAGGAATAAATATCTTAACTAATATTTAATATAAATATGACATTCGTGAATTGTATATTCATTGAAATATTTGTTTTGCAATGTTATATTTACAAAATTCTGTAGGCTCTTTTCACAAATGTTCACATAGGTAACCAAGAGTCTTTATAATTATTATTTGGTAAATAATTAATTCGAAAAAGTACGGTAAAGGTGTAATAAATTAAATCTTTGTAGTTTTAAAAGCAATGCACAATTAGCCCATATTACTCTGTTGGAAAACTAAGTGAAATACAATGTATAAAAATTATTTTTATGAAAAGCTATTAGAAGCAAAAAATTCTTTAGCTAACAAGTAAAGTAATAGTAGATTTTATTGATTTATATTTAAATAATAACATTTCCACTGCTGAAGATACTTAAAGGATTTTATATAATAATACTGTTGCGTTTTTAAAAAATTAATTTAAATTTTACATTAATTAATAGTTCTTATAATGAAAAAAAAATTCATTTGTACATATTTTATTTATAAATTTATACTTTATATTATTCAATTTATTTTCTAAAAATTTAAATAATTATGTAATCGTTAATTTTTCAATCTTTTCTAAAGCATTCTCAAGTATATATATTTACTGAAAAATCCACTCAGCTTATCAATTAAAAAACATATAAAAATACAAAATAAAAAATTACAAAAGCATATCTAATAAGCTAATCAATGAAAAACATAAAAATACAAAATAAGATATTACTAGTCGCATAGATTGCAGTAATAATTCATTTTTAGCAAGTATATATACTGTAATATATCTCGAACTATATATTTGTCATGTGGATAGTAGTACATATAAGCTTAATTGTATATATGAATTAAATGTTTGTAAATTGACAATATTAAAAATTCATAAAGCAAAAATATTTAAAATAAATATTTAGGGTAATAAAGGGTTTAAAATTAATAAAAAGGCATTCGTTGTTAAATTATCACTTGTTAAAAAATGCTAAATAATTTTTATAAAAACTTATATTTTATTTTCAGATATTACCATATTAGTTAACATAGTCTTTAAAAAATTAATTTAAATATGTCAAGTTTTTAAAAATGTATGGATAAAATATTACTCGATTGGTTTATGGACTATCGAGTTACTGAGATGTTTTGTTTAATTTTTTAAATTAATATATTTGGTAAGACCATATATTTACTTTGCGTTTAAATTTCATTAAGTTTTCGATTTGTTTCATGAAAATTATAAAAATACAAGAATATGAGACTTTAAAAGCACTTATTAAAAATATACTATAGATGGTAATTATTTACTAGAATCCATTAATTTACTGACATATTCATCTAATAATATTAATATATAATAATAATAAAATATAATGTCTTTGTCTATTAGTGGGGGGATATCGGCGCTTGATATTATTTTCAATATTAATAATATAACATATTAGCAACATATAGGCATATTGTGTAAAAATTGGAAATAAATAGGATTTTTTGACATTTGCTTTTAAATATTCGAATCAATATTTTTCGTACTTTCCTTTACAGCTGAAGTATAATATAGTATTTTTGCTATTGTTCGTATTATATTTATTTAATATATTTTTTAGTTTTTAATAATTTAAAAGTAAAAGAAAATACATTACTTAATGGTTTTAATGTTTGTATTAACAGTTTGTTAAGAAAAATTAATTAATTACGCATTATAGTTATACTAAAAAACAACCTCGAAACATACGGTTTATTATTATTGTTTATATTGTTATCGATATCGTGATTCTTATTTTCAAAATTTATGTAATATCTTTTTGACAAAAAAGTTAAGCGTACATTTTCTTTTTAATTGAATCATGAAATAATAAAAAAAATTTATTTTAAAAATATTAGAAATTTTAGTTTTATAAAAATAAAACTTGAGCAATTAAATTATTTAAAGTTTTTTCTTGCTTATATATTAGTTCCCTTATAAATTATAAATATATTATTTCACACAGCAATGTGTTACGTAATAATGAAAATAAATACCTATTCAAAAAGCAATGTTTATCTATTATTTGTACTTATTAAATACGTTCAAGTTGCATTGATATTCGATGGATTCGCGGGTACTATGAAAGAGCGCACTCTCATGTTGATTGGGTATAATTAAAATGAATCAGCTTTCGAATTAGATTCTGAAAAGGAAAGTTTAACCTCTTATTTAATATCGTTTTAGCAAAATTTTGCTTAACCCTTTTTAACATAATTTGTGTTTATGACCTTAACATGGTATAATAACAATAGTTTAACATGAATATTCAAAATGTTTTAATAAACTTATTCCAAAAAAATTTAATTTATTTAGGAATAAATCTCAATGACTGTAATAAAATGCATGCACGCTTATTTTTAAAGCATAAAAATATTTTAATTTTTCAAAAAGGAAATATTTTACATTTTAGCGATTGTTTTTCAAAATGCTGGAAGTGTAATTATCCTCATAAATCTAATTTTTTTTGTTCTAAATGTAATGCTTTGCAGAAGCTTCCAAAAGATTTAAATTATTTTGATATTATTGGAGTTTCAAAAGATTTTGATGTTCCTGTTACAGACATTCAAAAAAAATATAGACAACTTCAAAGTCTTTTGCATCCTGACAAATTTGGACAAAAATCTGAGGTAATGCACTCTGTTCTATTCAATTATGTGTATTTTGAAGTTTAAGCAAATATTTGTAATTTAATATTTATATATTTTTTAAGTTTTAATAATAATTTAGAATTATATTATTTTAAATAGGTAGAAAAAGAAATTTCAAGAAATGTTTCCTCCTTAGTTAATAAAGCTTACACTACTTTACTTCATCCATTAGATAGAGGCTTGTATATGCTTAAATTGTATAATATTTGCATACCAGAAGAAAAAACAAGCTTGGACCATGAATTTTTAATGAAAATTATGGAAAAAAATGAAGAAATTGAAAAGTATTCTGAAAATGTAGAAAAAATACTAGAATTTACAAAAGAAAATCGAATAACATTAGTTAGATTAACAAAGTATTATATGTTATATATTAAGTTAATTGTAACTACAATTGCTTCAATTTTCAATTATTCTCTTATTTAGATAATACAATCTTTTTATATACTATAATTTTCTTTTACATATTTAAAATTTAATTTTATATTTAACTTAATCTTAATATATAACAATTAATTAAAAAAATAATTGAAATTTGAATCTAGAGCCGAATTTATAATACATAGTAACAAACTACTAATTTAGTTTTATAACTTTCAGGCAAATATCACAAGCATTTCACAATAAAGATATTGATCAAGCTACAAAACTTTTAATAAAAATGAAATATTACGTTAATGTAGATAATAAATTAAAAAATTTTAGACAAATTTTGGGGGTTATTGAATAAATAATAAATAATGTACAGAGAATATGTAAATATGTATATTATGTTATAAAACTGGTATGATATAATAACAATAAAGAACATGTACAAATAAATAAATCATTGATTATCTATTTTCCATTGTTCAATCCATTCACATATTCTATTGATATTATCATTTATTTGCTCTAGTGTATCATTTTGTAGTTCGTAAACTATCTCTTCTTTGTATGATTCTTTTGCTTCTTCTAAAATAGTTTGGAAAATTTCACAATCAATATTATCTTCTAATTTTTTGCCAGTGTATCCTCTAGAATCTAAACGATCATATAAAATAGTATTATTAGTTCTTAAAACAAATACAATGTCAAACCATCTTTCTGGAAAAAAATCTACTCCATGATAATCTACAATTTTTCCTCCTTCACACATCATTGGTTCCATTAAGTCTAATAACTATAATTAAAAACAAAATATACAAACAGTTTTTATCTTAAACATTTAAAAGAATAATTATTGATTATTGTAATTTTTTTAATTCTTTATAATGTGAGAATTTTATTGAATGAAAATTTATGAAATATCGTTTGAATATATTATCAATTATTAAATTTCAAACATGAATTTGAAGTTAATCAAAATCTTTGAAAAATTTCCTAAAATAACTTGTCTTGATTATTTAGCGATTTACCTTATCTTCATTTAAAATTTGACATTGATAATTTTGATCATATGATTCTAAGCATTTATTATCAACAGCTAATTTACTAACATCTAACCAAATCAGGTTTGTGCGTTCTGAAAGTAATCTTGACAATTCACTTTTACCAACACCTGGAGTACCTAAAATAATACATGAATATTTTTATCACTAATATTATATTGATTGATTGAAATACTAACAAAATAAATAAAGTTTCAATATAAAAAAATATTAAATAAAAAATATTAAAGATACCTGTAATTAAAATATTTGGATCTTTTTTATTTGTTGTCATTTTTCTCAAGTTTATACATGAATCGATTCAATTTAGAGCTATGCATGTATTAACAACACAGTCCAAATAAAAGAGTACGATAATAATATTATGATTCGTGTATACATGCATTCAGATTATATATTTATCATACCATATCGATCTCTTATGCATTCATCAGTCTTTCCCTTTCGGCAGTCACCGTAGTGCATTTGTCATATCGTTTTGTCCACGAATCATGACACAATTATGTTCATTAGAGTGACGTCATCCTTTCATCTTCAGCATAATCACAAAGTGTGTATGCAACCATAGATTTTCATAATTCGCGGGAAGTAATATTGATTTTTATTTATATATTTTATTTTTTTTTTTATTTATTTTTTTTTTTAATGAAATAGTTTAGAAATAATTATTATCAAGTAGCAATTGGAACAATTTTTAAAAAGAAATTTACAAAATTTCTCATACATATAAGCGTATGTAATGTATGTAATATAAATCATTTGGGAAATACAGTAAATCCCAGTATTCGACGTGATAGTTGAATGTTTAATACAATTTCGGTGTAAAGTCATTGATAATTTATAACGGATTATCGATTACATGCAGCAAGCAATTATTAAAGTATGAGTAACGTTAATATGGATTAAATTGATATTCAGAGATGTAATCGTATTGTACATCTGCTGTTTTTTTTATTTTATTTATTATTTCAGACACAATTGTATTCAAGTACAAGTTTCTAAATGATCCAATAAATTTTGTTATTCCTTTTATATATTACAAAACTGAAAAAACATAACAAGGTACCGGTGGACGATTGTGTACTTTTAAATATTTGAAGTTTTAGACAATTTCTAATTACTATCTAAATACGTCGTTAAATTAAAAAGAAACTTAATAAGGTTATGTGGTCAAATCACAAACAACTTAATATTCTATCATATTTTTTCTCTAATTTTGTTTTTTCTTATCATATTTATTATGGCAAATAAATGTAAGGTGAGTTAAATCTAATTTTACTAATTTTAGATCAATTTATTAAAATTGTAATGATGTATTATAGTTATATTGATTAACAGCTGGAGAGTTATGTATATTTTATAAATTTTGTACATGAATAAAATATTTAATATATTTAATTTTTTTTCATTATTGAATACTAAATATTTTATAGTGGGTAATATTTAATATGAAATTCAATCAATTATGTTTAATGAGTATTTGCTAAATAATAAGAACAATATCTTTAAAAAAGAAAAAAATACTTACGAATAATTATATAAAGAATTTAATGTCAACTTAGTTAAATTCTTAAATTATTAAATTTTTATGTAATTGTATTATCAAAATAAAGAAAGTTATTACAATATATAAATTTGTTATTATAGGAATGTGGTTGCACGTGCAAACAATGTAATAAATATGAACAAATGCATAATGATATGCATTTGCACGTGGAAATAGAAAACTTGCGTCAACGATTAGTCGAGAGAGATAATCATATTGTAACAATGGAAACACAGTTTTTAAATGAAGCTGAAAAATTTCCCAATGGTGAATTAGCATCACTGAAAGAAGAAATGATTATTTGGCAAGATAAATATACAAGATTATATGAATCTCACAAACGTATTCAAAAAGTTAACCAGAATCTTGAAGATAAACTGTTAAAGATTGTTGACAAATGTGAGACTGAGAAAGGTGCCTTTACCAAGGATATAGCCACTCTCTCCATTAAATTGGCTGATGCTAATTATAGTATTCATCAATTAACACAAGATAATGTAAATTTATAACGTTCATTAATAATATATAAACCAATTATATCACACAATTTTGTATATCATTTACATAATAATAATTAATTTTTAAAAACTATTCAAATTGAAACATTCAAAAATGATATATGTATTCTCTTTATATTTATATTTTATAAAATAATGAAATGAAAGTAAATTTAAATTTCTTATAAAATCTTGTAAAATTTCTTATAAAATATCTATATCTATACGTGTATATATATATATATATATATAAATACATTATAGAAATTTTTTGTGTTTATTTAGGAAAAATATCGACGCGATATAATTTTAGCCACTCAGCTACTTCAATGTAAGCCATCTAATTTTGTTGGTCAAAAATACGAATCTGTAAGTAAGAACTGAAAAACATATAATTCAATATATTTTAAGCAAAGTAATAGTATAAAATATAATCTTTTTTTATAAATAACAATAAACAAAAATTTTTTGGAAAAAAATGCTTGAAATTACTTATAATGAAATACTGTATCTTTGGAAATTAATTTATTTTATGTTCATTTGTTTTTAGCTACCATCAGAAGTTCAAGCAAAAGTAAGAACATATGTTACACAGAAAAATCATATAAGTGAAATTCCCAATACAGATATTAAAAGCATAACAGTTCCAATATCTACATTTCCTCCAACAGCCATGGTATATAACGTTGCAAAGCCAATAATGGATAAACAAGATATTAATAACGATGATAATGAAAAATCTCCCATAGACATGGTATCAGCAGCTATTATGGCTAAAGTCTTAGAGGATAGAGAAAAAGAAAGAATATTTGCTCGACATTGTAATACTTGTACATGTCATAGAAATGTTTTAAAAGTTGATAATGAAAGCCAAACAACACAAGCACAAGATGAAAGTAAGCTTCCTGGTACTAAGAATTATTTTAAGATGTTTAATCATGCAAAAAATAATAATGAGTTCTTTTGTTCAGATATCAAAGATATGAATTTGAATTGTAGCAAAGGGTATTCTCTTTATAATAACTTAAATGTAAAACATGATACTTATCATTGTTCAAGTGGAACAGTAGAATCAACACTACATATGGATAATGAAAATTTTAAAATATCTTGTCGAAATAGCACTAATGACAATACTTATTTAAATTTTACAAATTCACATAAAAATCGAAGTATTACAAATGAAGTCAATATTCAGGATAAATCTAAGTCAATAAATGAAGTAGCTAGGATGGAAATACAAAGTAGTCTGAATAATTATGAGAAGTCAATAAGTGAAGCAAAATTAGCAAAAGAGATGGAAAATTTTGATGAGCTATTATGGAAAAGTAATTGGATAAATTCAAAAGGTTTGCAAAATACTAATGAAAGTGAAACGAAGTTAGACGTTATAAATGAGAAATCGCCTCCATTATCAGTGAGCGACGTAAAAAACTCAAATTACTTAATTAAAAATGAGAAAATGCAACCAGAATCAACTTCTAGTCTAAGTTTTGACAATTCTGAACATTACCAATCGGTATTGTATACTAGTGGACGCAATAGACCTAGCACGGTATGAAAGTGAAACGAAGTTAGACGTTATAAATGAGAAATCGCCTCCATTATCAGTGAGCGACGTAAAAAACTCAAATTACTTAATTAAAAATGAGAAAATGCAACCAGAATCAACTTCTAGTCCAAGTTTTGGCGATTCTGAACATTACCAACCGGTATTCTATACTAGTAAATGCAATAGGCCTAGCACGGCATTAGTACATGTTGCTAAATCTTCACGATCCGACAGATCTACATCGATAAGCAATGACGAGAATGCGTCTTGCACATTACATAAAAGTGCGCAAATGCAACCAGAATCAACTTCTAGTCCAAGTTTTGGCGATTCTGAACATCACCGATCGGTATTGTATACTAGTGGATACAATAGGCATAGCACGGCATTAGTACATGTTGCTAAATCGTCACGATCTGACAGATCTACATCCATAAGCAATGACGAGAATGCGTCTTGCACCTTACATGAAAATGTGCAAATGCAGAGAGTAGCTGAGTGGATTAATACAATCACTACTGATAGTTCACAACTTGAGAATAATTCATTGTCCTCTGAAATTGAGCATCAACCAGATTTAATAACTTTTGAAAGTTTCAGTGATTTCTCAAATAATGCATCTGAAAAGCTAGAAGAAATATATTTAAGCCTAAAGAATAAAGATATTTACCAATATCTTGATAAGAGTAAATAAATATCAAGAAGAGCAGAATGGCTGTTAAAGAAGCTTGCAAGCCAACTTTCAATCTAAAACGTAATTCTGCTTATTATATTAAAATTTAGTTCTGTACGACGGAAAGAAGTCTTTTATAAAATATTTTATCTTTAAATAATTTTTTAATAAAAAAATTGCGATTACAGATTTTATTATTAGGAAATTGCAAAAGCACCAAATTTGAATTTAGCATTAAAAAAATTAGTTTACAGGTTAAATGTTGATATTAAAACAACAATGAGAAATATATTTATTTAATATTTTCAAGTATTTTCCATATTTAAAACTTGTATGTTTAATTACTTGTGTTATTATGTAATGAAATTTTCAATTCTAAATATTTTCATTTTTATGAAAATAGTAGAAATAATAGTTCATTTTAAATTTTTATTATCAATAATTTATAAATAATTATTATTTTCGTTTATTTGATGTATACGCTTTAAAAACTTTATAATGTACATTTTATTATTATTGTTACTGTTGATTTTTATCATAATTATTGTTTTTATTATGAAATTCTATTTTTGAACAAAGTGATATTTGCTTATAAAATTATAAAATTTCTATTTTCATATACTTTATTATTTTATATCAAATAAACTATAAATACAGATAAAAGAATATATATTTTTTCAAATGAAAAATATATAAAGTTTTAAATAATTTTATTGTAAGTATGAATAAATTTTTGCAAAGAATTTTGTAATTATAGTCAAGTTCTTTTGATTTTAATTTATAAGAAATATAAATTAGTAAATTAAAAGAAATGATATATCAATTATCAAACAAAAAGTAAATTGTTTTTCAATTTAAGAAAAATTGTGTTAATCATAACCAGACAGTTTATAAATTGATAATATTTTTCGGAATATTTAATACACTTAACAGGCAACATAGATATTAACTTGTGAAGATCAAGTATCTCACGTGTACTTTAAACAGTGTTCGTAAATTTAGTGCGAATTGTCATATATTCAATTATAGTATTTCCTTTAATTAATATTTTTATTTTAAAATGTATATTGTTTAACAGTAATACTTTAAATATCATTTTAAATTCCATTGTGTTCTTGAATCTATTTTTAAACAAAATAGACTATACAAATCTTAAATAAATTGGATTAGAAAAATAAAAGCGTAGTTTGAGAAAACCTTAAACTTGGCAAAGTAGCACTGGTTTTTTTAATCTTTTAATAGTAAATACAGTGTTTTTTAGTTATCAACTATACAATATATTAGAAGAAATGTAATGTATGTAAATTGATAAAAAAAATATATATCCATAAAATAAAGATTAGATTGTTATTGGCTTACAATTTTATATATACTTTGTACATATTATATTTTGTAAATGATTTTATGTATTTTCCTATGATATATATATATATATATATATATATATATATATATGTTTTTTAAATTTATTAATTAAGCAAATTATTCTTGAGTAAGTTCATTTTTTAATTGTACAGATATTTTTAATTATTAGTTTAAAGTACTAAAAATTAAATGATAATGTATATACTATTAAAAATAAAATTTTTAAATATTTTTGGATATTCATTTTAATAAATGTATTATTTTATATCTTTAGTTTTACATAATATAAATGACATAAGCTAATCTTATATAATTTTAAATAAACATCATATTTATTAGTGATTGAATATTTTAATTAAAAAATTTATTATTATATTAAGAGTTTTTCATACCATTTTGATCTTATAATCGTATATCGATATGAAAGTGCAATTCACAATATTAATTTACAATAGTTTGAAGATAATACTTTAATTTACAAATTAATTATGTGCAATTGTAATAACGATGATAGTAACGATGCTGATGATAACAACGACAACAACGACGATGATGCTGATGATAATAACAACAATAATAACCAATGTATTTATATTAAATTACAATTGATATGAACAAACTTATATATTTATCTATTTATAATACTTGAAAATTATTTAATAATTATTAAATTTATTTTTTCAATTTATATTTTTAATTCCTGAAGCCAATTAAATCTTTTGGCTACGGTGTAAGTTGAAAAATACAATAATAATAATTTGCAGGCTTTAAAATTAATGTTATTATTTTTACTTGATATTTTTAATTTGATTTGGAAATAAACAATTAAGTTTATAATTTAATTTTAAAATATTGTTTTCAAATGGTTTTATAGATATTCAGGAAAAATTGTTTCGTATAATATTAAAGTAATTTTTTTATTTTTGTTTCATTGAGGTAATCAACGAATTGCTGAAGTTATTTTAAGTCTACGTATACGTATCGAATTTTATTTATTTTATATATTATACAAAAATCGTACATAATTTGTATCTCACAGGTAGCAAAATTTTCAAATTTAATAAGAGAATTGTTTTTTATATTATTTGTAGACAATCCTTTGGAAGCATTTTAGGCTGTATTATGTCTTGTTTTTGTAATATATTATAAAAATTTTTTATATAATATTCACATAGATATTTCTGACTAGAATTAAACAAATATTTTGGTTCAAATGAGATATATAATATTTACTTATACCATTATATTTTTATGAAATAGGAACATTTTAAACATAAACCGTTGTTCTCTTTCGTGAACCGAATAATGTTGACTACTTAAACAGTTACCAAAAATATACAATTCGAAAATGCTGAACAAAATGGTGCTCATGTAATTAAATTATTATAATACTTACTATTATAACAAAAGAATACAATGCAATCTTACTATTAAGACAAAAGAAATATCATTTGATGTTCAATAAATTATATTTTATTAAAAGTTTTATTTTTTAACTATTTATTACAAAAATACCTCTATAAAAATAGTACATAAGAATAAATATTTAAAAAACTAAAATTATACATTATGAAATATAAAAATAAGTATACTTTTAAATAATTTTTTTATAATAAAAATAGTTCTTGATAATATAATTTTTAAAGTATGTAACATTTTTATTTCGATCAATCAAGAATAAGTGTACAATTTTAATAAACATTTTATTTAATATTTAAACGTTTCTACACACGTTACTTTTCTTCCTATCTAGTGAATAAAACTTATGCTTAGTGTTCGGTAACTGAACATATGCACTAACGACAATGCGAGTTATCAGATATAGAAAAATTGTATCAATTTATTTTGAATATATATGATGCGTCCATTTGATTTACCAATGAATAAATGTAAGATTATATTTAAAAACTTTATATTCTAGTGCTAGATATTATATTAAATTATTCTAATATAAGTTTATTAAATAATTTTTTTTTTTAATATTTGAGACTTAATTTGGACATTTTATTTGATACTATACAATTGCGCAACTTAGATGAAAATTGACATGTAGGCGACGGTTCTTAAAAATTTTAAATTATCGAATTTAAATATAAAACATATATAAGTTAAACAATTTTAATAACAGAGTAAATAATCTCTCGTACAAAAAATATTTTAGTTGTAATTATCTTACATTTAGTGACTAAATTCAAAAATGTTAAATCTTATATTTATTTCTATTACTAACTCATATCACTCATACCTATTAATTATATAAAACTTAAAGTAAATAAAAAGATTAGTTTACACAAATAAATATATTTTCCATATTATTTTTATTCTTATCTAACTATTTTGAAAATATATTTGAAACTCATCTCTCATTCTTAAAAAAAAATATATAAATTTACATGCATTTTTCCATTTTTCAAATATTTTGAATTCGTCTAGTAATCATATCTAAATAATACTAGTTAGAAAAACAATTATATCGTACCAAATATAAGTATTATAAAATAATTACATAGATAGAATTCATCAAAATGATTATAATTAAAATACATTATAAATATATGAATAACCCGAGTAAAAAATTTATATAAAACTCCGTAATAGTTTTTGTCTACTTTTCATTAAATTTATTTATAATATATATATATATATATATATATATATATATATCTTGTAATACCGGTATATTCAATATATTGTCATATATTAATCTATTAATTATATGCTATAGAATTTGTTTAATTAAATATATTCAGATAAAAACAAGTGATGATGTTATTTGGTAAGATTTTGTAAGTAAATATTTTTATAATATGTATTATTTCAATACATTTGATCCAATGCCCTATAATTAATTTTTTTGTTTATGATTGAATTCGACGACATTTATTTGATGTGAATTATAATTCAGTAAATTATTCAGGTTCGAAATAATTCAATATCCATTATTTTAAAACTTGTTTCTGTTTTTTCGAAATGAAGCATTTCAAGTATAGTTAAAAATAATATGCGAACATTACTTACTACTTACGAACTATTACTTCTTTACAAATGTGCACGCCTTATTATAATTATATATAGTTGTAATATTATTTAAATGAGATAATATGATGATTCGTTGATATCGTTTGCATTATATTGTAAAAAAATAACTTATGAACTTAAGTTGCAAATTATAAATTAAAAACAGATATTTTTAGTCGTCGACGATAAGTAGATAAAACTGATAGAGAAAAAAATATTGTATTACTGCATATTATTATAATTTATTGATAAGAAGTGGATTTAAGAAAATATTATTTTATTAGCACAATGTTCGTAATTGTAGTACGTACGTTAATAAAGTGATGAGTGACAAGTAATAAATATTCATGTAAAATAAAATTAACTTAAATGCTTTGAAGTAAGAAAAATTAATATATAAAAAAAATCTTGCAAGATAGCAGTGGTAGTTATTAAAGGTAAAATTGATATATTACGAATAATAATATACCCTATATATAACTACTGCAAATTCTAAATTATAATAATTACAATAAAATAATATTATTTATTTTTCTTTTAATTTATCGTAATAAATTGTAAAAAATTAAATATAATGTAAGTATAATGTCGAAGGTAAGAGTTAAAATTTCGAGCATTACTAACCGTGTAAGCTTTTTGATTGCTCGTGGATCTGTTTTGAACTTGCAAACCGGATGCCAAAACGACGACTCAACATGTATTGGATTTAGTTGGAAGTAGAAAGGCCGAGCCCATGCTCAGTAAGTCTATT